ATTAATGTTGCAATGATTAGGCGTGTAATAAGTGCGATAAAAAATATGGGGTCCAATCCTCTTTGATCAGACACCGAAAAACAGTACACGTATATATTGTAAAAATAACAAACGCAATAAATGTGATAATGAACATGAGAATCCATCGAATTTGAGTTGACTCTAAAAAAATTCATAAAATTTATAGAAACTATTTATTAGACAATTTTTTAGGTTTTTTAAAGATTACTTATGATTACAGTTCAAGTTCGCCCGATGGTCAATTACTTAAATGAAAAATTTGCTTACAATTCAATTGCGAATATTTGATCAAATATTTGATTATTACGTTTTATGGACTATGCACTCTACGCATACATTTATAAATCATTTTAAAGGGAAAAATATACTCAGCTCGATTGCAATGAAATACTTTGTTCATTGAATCTTTAAAGAACCAATCATATCTTTTCAAAATCTCTTTTACAAAACAACTAAGGCGATTCTTCTTCACCGTGATAATGATAGAAAACACAATGAAAACAAGATAAAAACCAAAAACTCATTTCTTGTAAATGAAAGACAAATATCTAATGCTAAATAAAATATTCAGAAGTTTTGCTACAATGTTATATCGATTTTTGATGAGATTTTCACCATCATTCAACTATCAAAAAATTTACAATTAATTTATTTTTACTTGACATTGGAATGGTCCTCGAGAGACTAATTACACATGTCCTGGGTCCTTTCGTTCTTTCGTCATCTTGAAAAACATCTATCATAGAACGAGAGCCGGCGACAAAAATTTATATCAAATCTTTTAGAATCTTAGAAAAAATCGTTTCTAACATCTGAAGTGCGTGACATAAGGTCAATAATTATAAACAAACACGTTGTTTTGAATCAATTTTTCCAGGTTGATTTTCTCAAAATTTTTCGTTTAAAAGTTATAAATTAATGAATTGTTTGAACGGCTAAATCTTGCAAACTTTCGGAGATGGATTAAGAAAATTTCACATAATTTTATTTTTCTTTGAAAATTAAAGTCGTTCACTGGAAAAAAGTAATGCACTTATTAATGCGAAATTCACATGAACACCTCCTTTTTTTATCTTTCAACCTCTGTAACTTGGCTCCTGTTAGTGAGATCAAGTTCATCGACATCTCATTTTAAAGGTGATATTCTTAATAATAATATAATGTAGTTTTTATTCCAGTTCAATTGTTTACAGTGGAGTTTATAGTCGTTAAAATATAGGTTCTACAGATGTAAGAAATTAATTTTCAATTCTGACATGTTCTAAACTTATTGCTCACGAAGTTTTACGGTAATTAAGATTAGTCAATTACATTTGAAAAAATTGAATTCTTGTTTATAATTATTGGTACAAGTGTCTAATTCTGTTACTATATATATGACGGTGAAAGAAATTTAACATGAACTTTTTCACAGGCTCCCGCGTCTACCACACATTTTCCGAACTCGTGTTGAAACATGTTCGTGCGGGTCGCTCGCCTGAAATGACATGTTTGTTCATGCAGAATCGCTCAAAATTCAATCAGGATAGAAAGTGAGAGTCCAGCGAAGTAGGGGCGTGGCCTATGCCTAGCCATGTATTGTCATTTTTGTCGCGCTCCCGCCACAAACACGAGCGGCCCCTAGTCCGTACTGGTGGCAGTTTGAATTTCTATAACGATATTAGAAAATATTTCACGTCAAAATCCTTTCATTTCGTAAATAATAAAAAAAAAATTCAAACTGTTATGAATTTTTTTTATGATTCTGAAATATCATTTTTCATCTAAATCTCATGTTAGCTAAAATAATAACAATATTTCTCAAGTATATACTACTGTTTGGTATGGCAGTAGAAAACTTCCTACCAGTGTGGTTGGTGAGATTCAAAAATAAATACAAGAATTTTGGAAAACAATTATAGTTTTTTTATTTACAATAAACAAAGACGTGTCATTTTCTACATTAATAAACCCTCCTCTTTTTACTTTTTCCTTTAAAAGATCTTTTAAATTTGGCTTTTTTGTCTACATCATTTTCAAAATCATAAGCAGTTGGTCTTCGCTTACGGCCCATTTTTTTGTCTTCGATAGCTTGCGATTTTTCATTAACTAATAACTTTTGAGCTGCCATAACACTTTCTTGCAGACTCATAACATCTTCTTCTTTGTGTGGATATAACTTCATTCTTTTATTTATCAATTTTTCTATATTTTCAAAGAGTTGAACATCATATTGACATGTAAAGGTAACAGAAAGACCTTCACGTCCAGCTCTGGCCGTTCTCCCTACTCTATGTATATAATCTTTACTGTGAGTAGGAATATCAAAATTGATGACTGCGTCAACATGTGGAATATCTAAACCTCTGCTGGCAACGTCAGTCGACACCAAAATTGGTCTATCCTTAGCTTTAAATTTATTAAGAGCAGCAATTCTTTTATTTTGTACCATTTGTCCATGTAAAGGTACAGCCTTGAATCCTAATGCACAGAGCATTTTAGCAACTCTTGTAGTTCTTTCACAAGTGAAACAAAATATCATTACACTCTTTGCTTTTTCTTTCTCTTTCTCTTGCTGCAATTCACTTAGAAGATGTACCAAATATACTTCTTTACGCTGTCCAGGCATTAACATATAATATTGTTTTAATTTTTTAACAGTTTGATATTTTGTTGATACTTCAACTTTCACTGGATCTTTTAGTGATGCTCTTTGCAATTTATTAACCTGGCTTGTCATAGTAGCTGAGAATAACATAGTTTTTTTTTCCTGTGGAAGAGCTCCTAAAATTGTGTATAACTGTGTATTAAATTCATTACTTAAGAGTCTATCAGCTTCATCCAATACTAAGTATTTTATTGATTTAAGATTAAAACCTCTTGTTGATTTTAAATGATCGACTAATCGACCTGGTGTAGCAACAATAATATGTCGCTTTTGATTCAATTTAATAACTTGCTCTTTCATATCTAAACCTCCAACAATGACAGCGCATTGAAGACCAATCGCTGCTCCTATAGCAGTAAACTGTTCAGAAATTTGAAGTGCCAGTTCTCTTGTTGGAGTAAGAACAAGGGCAAAATGCTTTTGTGGATTTTTTAATAATACTTGTACAATAGGCAGTGCAAATGCAGCGGTTTTTCCAGAACCTGTTTCAGCTAAAGCAATAATATCTTTACCTTCAATTGCAGGAGGTATTGCTTCTTGTTGAATTAATGAAGGCTTTTCCCATTTCAAATTTTTTACAGCTTCCAACATAACATCATTTAGTCCCAAGTCCTTCCAGGTAACCTCATAAGTTTTTCTGGCGATTGAAGATTCTCCGTTGATTGTAGTTTCCTCGTTGTCCGATGATTCTTGTACATCAGACATGATGAAAAATAAAAAAATGGCACTGTTCGTAGGGTTTTGAATAAACTTTTGTATGCAGGCGAAACGAACCAAGTTGTGTAACTATTCACCAAGTATACAAGTGGTGTATTTTTATGAGTTATCCCAAGGTAGCAGACGCTGGCGCGGCTAACGCTGACCTAGGCAGATGCGAACTAAACAAACTAACTTGAATTTAAGCGGAAAATTTGAAATCATTTGATTATCTCTTAATTTTTGAGCTCGATAATTTTTTGAAGATTTTGTCCATTTTTATATTAAATATTAACAAATAACTATGCTTTTCATCAACAATATCATGTAAAAATTTAAAGACCAAATGAAATTTTTTAGTCAAAAACTTTATGTTAAATATTCTGCTTAGTTGTAACAGGATGAGTAATATTTGGTAATATTACTCATATGTCACTAATATTGTCTCATATAATCTACCTGAAATATATCCAGCTACTATAGTCTAGAGAAACTAAAGGAATGAATTGCACAAGTTCCTACAGCTCCTCTACTAGATGATGAAAACCTTTTAAGCATGATAAAAACTATATAAGAAGATTTATTAAATTGAAAATAGTTTCATAAAAGAATATTTATAAATACAGTAAATAAGTCAACTTACGGTCAGTAATTCAATAAAAAAAAAATCAATAAAAATTAGCGCGTTGATAAATTATTTTCGTTGAAATGTAACATCGGATTACCCCCGCTCACTTTCCCAGGCAGAACGTTTTTTAAACGTTCCTACCACGTTGTACACATTCAGAAACGAAATGCAGGGGCGGACATTTAAACGTTTCTGAAAAGTTTCTTCAAACGTTTTTTCGACTTTTTTCTGAAACGTTCTGAGGTTTCCAATTGAACGTTTCTATAACATTATAAAAACGTTTCGTGCTATTAGGGTACCGAATTGGTAAAAACGTCGAAAAAAGCCCCGCACTAAAGATTCGTATACCGCTCGACTCGCACCTATCGTTCGCTGCCTAGAATTTCCCCCTTCACCTTGAGGATCGCGACCATACGCTCGTGTGTCACATAGTTCTCTGCGCGAAAAAGCTCGATTCGTGCTCAAATAATTTTCTTCATTTCTTCTTTTCGTCCGCGCATAGTTATGTTGATATTTTCCCCGAGATGCAATTAACACGGCTTTTCTATGCCGAAAAAAATGCGTTTGGGTATGTTTCGAGAGTGGGCAGATATGATTCACGTATACGATTCTCGAAGTAAAAAATGACAATAAGACTTACTTTATTTTTTATCCATAAATTCTTACGTAATTTTTACGGTAATAAACATTCATTTTTGCATTTCCGATAGATGTTAGAAGAGGGTTGGGAAGCTAAATTAATGTAAAATTTTCTACAGGAGTCGAATATAAATAATTCGGTTCACTTTAGTCATACTGATCTTTCATGAATGTGGCAAGTTGACACAAAACTTGTATTTTTTTCAAATTGATTCCATAAAACATAAACACCTTGTTTTTTTACTATTAAGTAACAAATATATTTTTTAAATAAAAGTTTCTGCTACAAAGTGACAAGTACAAAAGACACGATTAAAATAAATTCTTGAAAGACAATTAATATCTAATACTGAAGAAAATCTCCTAATTCCGTAATGTTTCATCGACGTTTGATAAGATTTTCATAATTATTTACTCAAAACTTGACGTTTAATTTATTTTTAATGCGATACAACGACATTGGAATGGGACTCCAGTCGGTTTGTATACTCGTTTGGCCAAAAAATATAAAAATTACATTGCTCCAATAAGAGAGAGCTGTAATGACAAGCCAAATCAGTAATCCTGTATCGCTGAGCCAAATATTTATGAACTTTTCGAACTTATTGACTTCCTGTAAAAGAAAAAACTCGATTATTCCGATTACAATTACAATTGTATAAAACTACAATGTCCTTACCCAATAGTTCAGCGCCACGATCGTGAAGAAAGTGACGGTCTGATTGGCGGCCTCGGTCACGGCTACGAGAACACCGGCGTAATACGGGCTCAGATCCATGTGATTGATGAGGAAGCCGCTGGTCTGCAGGCTCGTGAGCGCCGACAGGCCCAGCGACAGATGCTCCCAGTTGACGTCGTACTCGATTCGGCCGAAAGTGTCGCGCACCAGCAAGAAATAGGCCGCCGCCACGCCCATGGGCACGACGCTGCCGAGAAAATTGAGGCTCTTACGGGCCTTGGCCGTGGTGACGAGTCGGGTGTGCTGCGCCAGAAGATCCGACAGGATGCCCGAGGCCGAGCCGATCAGCATTACCCAGGGCACGATGTCGTATTGACGATTCAGCCGGTTTTGTACGGTGGGTCCCGAAAAATTGAAGAACTGAAAAGCGACACATCGAATGTATACGATTGCATGTAAACGACAATTCTGAATTGACACATGAATACTAGAACTCTTCATTTTTGTCTGCGAGGAAAAAAAGTGTCACTAATTTTATCGGAGAAAAAAAGTTAATCTTACAATTGTGCCAACGAAAATTATCTATTCTCGAGCTAGAGTTCACGAAAATTATTACTGTTCGCTACATTATTTGAAAATATACTAGTGGCAACCACAGTTGCAAAATCATGCTGAGCGACTGAATGGTAAATAACGAAATAGCATACGATATCATTATAATAGTTGTTTCAGCCGTATGAAATTAATAATAGTAGCTTCAATGAGTATCATAATAAATCAATGTTACAATGAGTTTTTTGTGTCAGCTAATTTGGTAAAGTGGTTAAAATTATTATTGGTATAATTGCAAGTAGAACACAAAAATAGGGCGTATCTTTTAGTTTGATGTTCCCTACATGTATATTAGTATAGGTATATGAATACAGTTTTTCGTAATTCGCACGTACGAAAGAGATTTCACTTATCGATGTTTTGTGCTCAGCGTGTATTGACAACCTTGCGACCAAAGGAATTTGCACATGGCATGCCAACGCATATAGAGCTGTATGTACGCGTTAAGCTGGCCAGGTGTGCCCACGTGACAATATATATAGATATCTGTGGTGGAAAGGCATAACGACTTAAGTCCATTTTTCGTGTTTTCGAGAAAAACGCGTTTTAAGTTGATTGTGCCAGCCTAACTAGACGCGGACGAGTTGAGGTCTGAACCTATGATGTTTTAAGCTACTATGAGGTAGCTTTTGAACTATGTACTTATGAAATTGAAAGGCGCATCATAGCGATGATAGGGAGCAAAAAATATGGACTTAAGTCGTTTTGCCTTTCCACGCTTTGCACTCAAGTCCACTTTTGGCGGTCACACTTTTTTCAATATCGATAATTTCGCGCAGTTTGTTCGCACAACCTCATTTAATGATTTTACATTGATAAGATTATACTGCCGTCAGATCTCAAATCTTGCAACGAAAAAAGGCCAAACTGAAAATCGAGAAAATTGCCCCTCGCGTATCAAATGTAACAATCATATAGTGTAATTCACAACATTCGAAGAGTGTGGAGCTATGTTTAACATTCTAATATCATTTTCTTTCATTTTCAAATAAAATTAGACTCTCTATAGCATTTTGAAACTCACAAGGGTCGACTCAAGTCGTTTTGCCTTTCCCCAGTCTTCGCGAAATGGACTTAAGCCGTTATGCACGTGCTGCAACTAACGCTAGACGCTATATTCGTCTATTCTGACCCGTGTACATTAAAATAGACACTAAATATAGACGTTTTTCATCATAAAATCGATTTTCAAAAAAATGGACTTAAGTCGTTATGCCTTTCCACCACAGATATATATTTGACTAGATGACTAACCATGCATATTTATCACACATAGATTACATAGATGTACGATATTCGCTCGTTGTGTAAAAATGGTAAATGATATAGATGCGACTGTAGTCACGTATTTGGCGTTAGTGTAATATAAAAATGTATATAAACCCTTCATTCGCTCACGTTAACTTTGTTTCATATTTTGCGCGTCGAAAAAAATTATGCGAAAAGAAGTATAGGACACATCATAAGCTCGATTCATGAAGTGTTCAATAATTTATAATTTCTTTGTAATAAGGTACAATTCAAAGAAAATGGCTAATTGTTTATTACGAGATCAATATTATAATTTCTCCAATAATAAATGATAAGTTTAGAGTGTCTCTGTTGACATAAATTTTCTCAAACTTTCATTTCACGATTTGTAAATATTATTACACTTATGTTACCTAGCTCGATGTGTAACATCATTACAAAACAATTAGTCGTTGATCAAGTTACGAGTGATAAACATGGACTTCAGTGATGTATATAACTCTGATGTCAGGTAATTTTTGTTTCGTGAGAATGAAATTTAAAAAAAAAGGCATAATAATTTATATTATTGGGAATATTGCAGAGTGAAGAAGGAACCAGATGATGTTTCCCCAATTAAAAATGAAGATTATAAGATAATTGACAATGCATGCGATGCTAAAAACGACGAATTCTCGAGTTTTTGTCGAGAAAATTTAGTAAGTGTTGATGTGGGACTGTTTAGTCAATATTTTGATCAAGTATTTTCACTAATCTCATTTCCAGATTTATGGGCTTCGTGAAAATGATGAAAATTCTGGACCTAATAACGATTTGGAAATAGAATTCGAATGTAAGGACGAGAAGCTTGGCAATAACTTATTAGTAGTCAAGAAAATCGAGGACGATTATCCAGATCAATGGCAGCATATGAAAAATAGTTGCAATTATCAGACTCCAAAGAAAATTAAAGAAGAAATTGTCGACAAAGTAAAAGAGGAATTGAATTTGGATGGTGAACTCAGTGATGCATTTGATGCAAATGAAAAAACATTTGCTCAAAATAGTCAACGCAAACCCCAAACTGATAAGGCACGCAATCGTACCAAATATCCATGTGATATATGCGGTAAAAAATTTTCACGAAAAGATTATCTCAAGGTCCACATCGATTCAGTACATAATGGTGCTAAACACGCGTGTGGTGTATGTGGAAAGTCTTTTCCACAAAAATGTTATCTCAAAATTCATATCGATGTGATGCATAAAGGTATGGCACCTACTTGCGAAGTATGCGGGAAGAAATTCTTAACTGAAGCTGCACTCAAGATTCACATCGGTGCACACAATGGTGTTAAACATCCATGTAATATATGCGGTAAAAAATTTTCACGAAAAGGTCTTCTCAAGGTCCACATCGATGGAGTTCATAATGGTGTCAAGCATACGTGCGTTACATGTCGAAAAACATTCACCCAAAAAGGAGATCTCAAGATTCACATCGATGCAATTCATAATGGTATTAAACATGAGTGTGGTATATGTGAAAAGACATTCACACAGAAAGGACATCTAAAGAGGCATATCAAGGGACATTATGGTGTTAAACATTCGTGTGTTACATGTGGAAAGACATTCACACAAAAATTTTCTCTCAAAATTCATATCGATGCGATGCATAATGGTGTTAAGCATGCGTGTAGTATATGTGGAAAGACCTTCACACAAAAATGTTATCTCAAGGTTCACATCGATGCGATGCATAAAGGTGTGGCACATACTTGCGAAGTGTGCGGAAAGACATTCACAATAAAGGGTAATCTTAAAAAACACATGAATTTGATGCATAATAAGACATAATAAGATATTGTTATAAGTGCGGCAAGACATTTTCTCAAAAGGATCGTCTTATAACTCACATTAAAACGCAGCACGAAGACATTGATCACGCTTGTGTTTAATTGTGGAAAAAAATTTAAACATAGAAAATATTTATGCAGACACGTCAAAAGTGTGCATGAAGCCAATACCCAAGCACGAGATCAATACAAAAGATCTTAAAACGTACCTATCAATACCGCGCAAAATGATGAAACATCGAGACAAATAAATAAATTAACATATCATAAATTAACATATATTTATTATCATATAATAAATAAACATATCATAAATTTTTGCTCAGTAGTGATACTCAAAACACGACATATAATTAATATAACTGTCATCGATACAATGTTAACTGAAACACGACATAATTATACTATATCATAATCATGTTATGCTCAGTATAGTGGTACTCAAAACACGACATATAATATACTTGTCATAATTACAATGTTAAATACCGATACACAAGTAAGACCGATCGCAAACAAAAATTACGTTTTTTCGAAGTGGAGATGTCGCGAGGTTCAAAACTCAAAATTGCATAAAAATGCATTTTTTGCATATTAGGATACACTGATGTTGCTAAACTGACAATGCTATGTAAACTTTTCAGTTCGCCTGGTTAATCCCTGCATGAGTTATCGCAGTTAGAGTAAAACATCGAAAATTAGCAATATCGAATGTGTACGACTTTGCTGCGCTCAGCATCAATAAGTATATAGATATGATAGAAATCATAGATTTTTTGGATAGAAACTCCGAAATAACCGTTTCATTCTTCACAGTACTTTTTTTACCCACATTTTAGCATTGACGTTTTCGTAAAGAGCGGCGTAATCTGTCAGATCCTACGTATGATTATCGACGTCAGAACTAACATTAGCCAGGACTGCCATCCAGTGAAACTGAATCGATGAAATTCGTTAAATAAATGAATCAATAATCCAATCTGCCAGATGGCAACTCTTATGTCGCACCCGATCAAAGCTCAATCATAAGTAATTACTTTTTTTTTGTACCTTTACAACTTTTTTGTCAAATGATCTACGTCTGAAAAAAAGAAAAAATTTATAAGCATCTTACCGTCGAGTAATCGCGCAGGGTGCACAACTGCGTGAAAAAGTACAGCGAGTGGAACACGATCAGACAGCCGACCGGCAGCGAGGCGAGCATCGGGCGCCACGGCACCTTCGGCTTGAAGCCCGGAGCTCTGTTCACGATCTCCATGTCGCAGTTGGCACCGACGAACCAGTAGACGATGGCCCAGGCCGGCGCGAGCACGCCGAAGATCATGTACACGCCGAAGGTGTCGAAGTGCCTGAGACCCACGAGGTTCACGCAGAAGGCGCTCAAGAAGGCCGAGAACAGGCCCAGCCACTTGATGTTCAGTATCACGGAACCTGCGACATTCACGAAGGTCTATGTATCGGACGTTTGAAAAACAATGTCGGAATTTCGTATTAATCTTTGTGAGGATCTATACTGAGATGAACAATTTCAGGTCTAGGATCCTTAATGAAAAAATTTGGAAAAATTCAAGTTTATTTGTTTTGACGGAGAAAAATTTTTTTCTATATTTTTTAACGTCCTGAAAAAATCATTTTCGTTAAACAAGCGGGGTTTCAGCTCTAAACTTCAGTATGACTGAAGTATTTTGAACAAATTCAAGGAACTGTTTTTTGGTGTCAAAATTAAGAAAAAAAAATTTCCAGTCTAGAATATTGAACCGCTTCATCAAAAATAAAATTATTGATTAAACTCTGAATGATTTTAAATAAAAGCCTAAAGCACGCAAATAATCTGAAAAAATTGAAGGTGATATGTTTTTTTGAAATGAACCTCATGAATTTTTTTTCAGAATGGGTAAAAATAGAAAAAAGACGTCTACACGACTTCTAAAGGCTATACGAGCATTATCGTAATCTAGAACTTTCATGTACTACTTAACAGTTATTATTTTAAAAATTCTGAATCTGACCCTTACACAATTGACATATGTCAATGGTTCTTTCCATACGAACACTTACCGATCGTCGCGCGCAAGTTGTCCGGCACGAGGCGCGCCAGCAGCACGTAGACGCAGGGCAGCACGGGCGCGTTGACGCATCCGAACAGCGTGTGCCAGAGATAGCGCAGAGCCGAGTGCATCTCGGGAAAGGTGTGCGGAGTGTCCTTGGACCAATAGTCTTCGCCGGCTTGGCTCGCGGCGTAGACCGCCAGGCCGAGATGCAGCAGACCGTTGCCGGCCACGCACGCGGACAGCAGCTTTTGGGCGCTACGATTGGTCGCGTACACCGCGGCCGGTACCAGCAGCGAGATGTAGCTCCACGAGTAGTAGTAGAAACAATCTGCGCGATTATACAGTTTTTACTTTTTTTGTTTTTTGGTACTCGATCGATGAAATTTGAGATACCAACCAGCGCCGATCACATTCAATTCCATGAATAGCCAGCCATAGTGGATGTGAGTGGAGTGATAGAAAAACAAGACCGCGACGGATATGAGAATGATCTGGAGTCCGGCGCCGCGCTTCGTGTCTGAAAAAGATGAATTTGATTCATTCACTTGTGTAAGCCGAGTGAAAGACAAAGAGTCAAAAGACGATGTATTCGAGCCCCTCGAGTGAGTTCTAGACAATATCGATTGATGAAAACATCCATTTTTGCGCTCACGATGAAGAACAATCGTGAATATTTTATTATACTATTTTACCAATGAGTTGAGGAAAATATTTTACCACTTGAGGAAAAAAAACCCCAGATAAAATTCCAATTTCATATTGTATCGAATTTAATAGACGAAATCCTTTATTTATTCATACTATTTCAATAAGGAATACTTTTAATTTCGCAAGGATAATTTTACAAAAACTGAGTCTTTAATTGAAATAGTTTTTCAGACTAATTGATAACTAACTGCGAAATTGAAAATTTAGTTTCGAAAGCCATAATTTTTCCTAATCAAGAAAATTATTTTTCTGCATTTATTTTAATCACGATAATTTGTAATCGTGTATAAATGTTAATATTATTTATTTAAAAAAATAAATGAAAGGCGTGTTGTTTATTAATACACAAGTTTATTTTGAAAAAATGAAAAAAGCTTTTATACAGTTTATGACATATTTGATTACAGTCAAAAATAAACAAAACGAAAGTGTATTTGGCTTTCAATTAATACAATTGTCATTTTTATTCGTTATTGCGTCCTAATTTCTCGGCATTGACTTAATAAAAGTAAATTTATATTGCTCAATGATAATGTAAACTTGTAGGATAACTTTGAGGTCATATGACTAGTGACCGCAATTTTACGTTTAAATTATTTCCTAAGATTATGTATTTTTACATTGTGCCTTTTGAGGGTGCCTTTTTCTCCAAATGATTTGTGGCAAATATTACATTCGAAGGGTGCACCGTTGTTATGTGAATTTTGAGGTTATCTCTTTTTCCAAATGACTTCAGACAAATGTCACATTCGAAGGGTTTGCTCCGATTATGCACCGTTGTTATGTGAGTTTTTAGAGTATTCTTTTGTCGAAATGATTTGTGGCAAATATCACATTCGAAGGGTTTGCTCCGATTGTGCACCGCTATAATGTGAGTTTTGAGATGACTCTTTTGTCCGAATGATTTGTGGCAAATATCACATTCGAAGCGTTTGCTCTGATTATGGACTGCACTCAAGTGTTCTTTGAAGTCAATCTTCTGTGAAAATGAGTTGTGACAAATTTTACACTCGAAGGGTTTGTTCCGTTCATGAACTGTCATAATGTGCCTTTTGAGTGCACTTTTTTGTCCGAATGATTTGTGGCAAATATCACATTCGAACGGTTTGCTCCGATCATGTACTCCATCTACGTGAGTTTTGAGGTAACATTTTCGTCCAAATGATTTATGACAAATCTCACATTCAAAGGGTTTGCTCCGATTATGCACCGCTATTATGTGAGTTTTGAGATTGCTCTTGATTCCAAATGATTTGTGACAAATTTTACATTCGAAGGGTTTGCTACGATTATGTACTGCATTCATGTGAACATTAAGATGGCTTCTGCGTGAAAATAATTTGTGACAATTTTCACATTCGAAGGGTTTGCTACGATTATGTACTGTACTAATATGAGTTTTAAGATATTCTTTTTGTCCAAATGATTTGTGACAAGTGTCACACTCGAAGGGTTTAATACGATCATGAACTGAACTGATTTGAGTATTGATGTAACTCTTGGTTGAAAAGGATTTGTGACAAATCTCGCATTCAAAGGGTTTATTATGATCATGTACTGCATTTATGTGTCTATCGAGGGGAAACTTTTTTTCGAATGATTTTTGACAAATGTCACACATGAAGAATTTTTTGCGATCATTGCGATCATGAAATGTATTCAAGTGAGCTTCGAGAATACCCTGGTAGTTGAATGACTGAGGACAAATATCGCATTCGCAAGTCATACATTGCCTCGGTCTAATGCGCCTGTTACACCTCGTACTGATATGCTCAATTTTTGGCTTCTCATATTCGGCAAGTTTCAAACGGGGGTTCACATCGAAATGGCGATTGTTATAATAATCAAATCCTCGTTTTATAACGATTATCGGTGTCTTTTCATATTGAATATTGGTGCGAACATCGTTTTCTGTTCTTGCCACAGGCTGAAAACTTTGATTTTCAGCTTTGGAGTCGGCCGAAGATTCTTCCTCTAACAGAGCAGACTCTTGCAACACCTCAGCTTTTTTCTCACTTCTTGCCTAAAACGAATTTCGTGAACTAGTTTTTGATACAGACTCTAGTGGATATTTGTATTCAAATCATTCGACTCACCGTTAACTCGCAAGACGACAATATTTCACGATACTTCCACGAGTCCGCCGAGTCGAAGTCATAATTTTCGAACCAAGTAACGATCGACTCCTCCTCCGCTCTGAAAAATTGTTCGAATTTTTACGTGTGAGCCGTTCGAATTATTATCATCGCAGGATAAACGCATACAAAAAAATTTATACCTAACTGCATCATCTGTGCTTTCCATCGTTCGCAATTGATTTACAGACGCAGAGCAAATATTTGAGGTTAAACTGCACCTAAGATTCTTTAGTAAGCGTGCATATAATTTGTAAACACTACCGAATACGTGAACACGTCGAAAAAAGCCCCGCACTCACGATTTGTATATCAACGAGTGATCCTGCATTTGCCGCGACTCGCACCTATCGTTCGCTGCCTAGAATTTCCCCCTCCACCGTGAGGATCGCGACCATACGGAGTTATGTTGCGCCGCTCGTGTGTCACATAGTTTTCTGCTCGAAAAAGCTCGATTCGTGCTTAAATAATTTTCTTCATTTCTTCTTTTCGTCCGCGCGAAGATACGTTGATGTTTTCCTCGTGATGCATGATGCACATAGGACGGCTTTTCTAAACCGAAAAAAACGCGTATGGGTTGGTGGGTCCATGATTCGAGAGTGCAGACTTTATATGTGTCAGCTTTTTCAAGTCGAATAAATCCTTGAGTCATATTTTGGGCAGATATGATTCACGTATACGATTCTCGAGGTGAAAAAGACAAAAAGACTTACTTTGCTTTGTATCCAAAAATGCTTACGTAATTTTTACGGTAATGAACGTTCATTTTTGAATTTCTGATCGACGCGAGAAGAGGATCGAGAAGCTGAATTAAAATTTGCTAAACAATTCGAATATAAACATATCGGTTAATTTTAGTCATACTGATCTTTCATCGTTAGAAAAAAAATCGGTAGATAAAATGATTTATGAGTTAAAATTAGTAAAAATGAGATCGAGAACCTAAAGTTCTTTAAAAATACACAAAGATTGGATACTTGTTATTCACTCAATTCACACCAAAATTCACTTGTTTCGATCGCGTTGTTACATTTTACATTCTGCACTGGAATTCAATCTTCATTATTCTTAAATATTGCCATTTACCTGGTATCTGGTAAACCACCTGCTCTGTTTCCGTGATTTTCACGTCGCTCTTTTCTTCTCGACCCATTTTGGACTGAATCGTGTATATATTGTACGTCAAATAATGAAAAAGTCACCGACACATGTAGCACAAAATCTTGACTGTTAATTAATGATCAGAGAAATAATTATTTTACGTTCGAGTCGATGATTTAATTCTTATCAAAATTTATATATGTACTTATGTAATTTTACACACCATAAATGGCAGGTAGATACGGGTCAAAAACTCATTCTTTGAATACTCGAGATATCGGTATATACATATTACTCGCGCCTGCACCGAAGCGAGAATAAGTGTGACATTTTTTTGAACTCGCACTTCTTACGATGATGTAACCTTATCACTGAAAATCTCATTAATATTGCCCCCCACGCCTACAAGTGACGTTCCGAAATGTGCGAAACTTACAGTGTATAGTACTCAAATGTTTCGGTAAAAATGAGAAAAAGGTTTTTTCTAATCATTGATTCATTTTCGCATCAAAAAGTACTACTACTAAAAAGGAAAGTACTCAAACTCTAATAAATTATTATTTATTCATTTGCACCTGTTCTCCGATGAATCGGATGGGAAATTTCGTTTATTTAAGTGACGCAGGGAATGTATTTTTTGTTATCATAAATTTGACTTCGTAAGAAAAGTTCCTGGTAAGTAAAAAATGTTTAGCAACTTCAAACATTAAATTTTCGTCGTATTTTACACAAAAATTGAAGAAAAAAATTTTAAGAGTTTTTACAACATTGGTATCATGTCAAATTCGAAAGAATCTAATTTTAATTAACATAGATATTATTTAGAGGAACAATACCGAAAGAAGTAAATAACACGACTTAAACAAACTCTTACATTTATTTATATATTTTTTTAAAAAACTACAATGACAAACTTCACTTATTTCATACTCAAATTTTGAGTAAGTCTTTCTGTTTCTTTTCATCGAAAAGAATTATAATAAACATTCATCTTAGCTATATCATAAGGACAGTAAACGTATAAAACATTATAAAAAAAAGGAGCTAAAAAGCTCATTGTTCACAGGCACTTCAAAAATCGTAGCGAGAAATCTTCTGCGTCAAGAGACCATGATTTTATTTATTTACAAATCCGTTCTTAATTTATTGATATTGCGATAAAACGACATTGGAACGGGACTCCACTTCTGTATGCTCGTTTGGCCGAAAAACATGAATATGGCACTGCTCCAGAAACAGAAAAGTCCAAGGAAAATCCAATTCAATAGTCCTTCGTCGTTCAGCCATAAACTGATGTAATCTTTGAAAACGTTGACGTCCTGAAAGAAGAAAAAAATTTGGTTCAACCGATTGCCACTTGGAAATTTAAAGCGCGGCATTTTTCTTACCCAGTGAGACATCGCGATTATCGTGAACACGGTCATGATGTGATTGGCGGCCTCGGTCACGGCTATGAGAACGCCCGCGAAGTACGGGCTCAGATCCATGTGATTGATGAGGAAGCCGCTGGTCTGCAGGCTCGACAGGGCCGCGACGATCACCGACAGATACTGCCAGCTCGCGTCGTAAGACGTCTCGCCCTGGTACTGCATGATCTTGAAGTAGATGCCGGCGACGGCCATGGGCACGCACGTGCCCACGAAATTGAACAGCTTGCGCGCCCGCGACGTCGTGAGGAAGCCGAGCTCGACGAGGACGTCGGACAGGGCGCCCGAGCTGGTGCCGATGAGCAGCGACCAGAGCACGGTCACGGTGGGCCTCGAGCTGCCCGTACCCTGGCCCGTGCCCAGCACTATGAGCTCCTTGGAGTGCAGGCCGAGCATGTGGGTGAAGTAGTAGGCCGAGTGCGACATGATGAGGGCGATGACGGGCGTCGAGGTGAGCATGGCGCGCCACGGCACACGCGGGCCCATCGTCGTCAGGGGCTGGCTGCGGGGCTCGACGATCTCGACCTCGTAGTCGGCACCGAGCAGCCAGTACAGCGCCAGCCAGGCCGCGACGAAGCCGTAGATGCCGTTGTAGGCGTACACGCTGTAGGCCGGCCCCACGGTCTCGTCCATGAAGACGACGAAGAAGGCCGTGAGCATACCCAGCCAGCGTACGTTCAGAACCAGCGAGCCCACGCTGGCGCGATAATTCTGGGGCACCGAGCGCCCCAGCAGCTGATAGACGCAGGGCAGCACCGGGGCCGTGAACACGCCGAAGAGCGTGTGCCACAGCGCCCGCCAGAAGTAGGCCCGATCGGCGGGGAACTTCTCGTCGAGCTCCTTGGCGTCGCACACGATCCAGGCGAGATGCATGAGTACGTTGCAGCCCATCGCGAAGTTCAGCATGGACTTGGCCGACTGGTAGGTGGTGGCCAGCGCGGCGGCGATCGGCAGCGCCAGCACGTAGGTCGCCGAGTAGTGATAGAAGTTGTGCGCCTCGTTCTTGACCACCTGGGTGTCGTTGCTCTGCGAGCCCGTGAACAGCAGGCCATAGTGAAAGTTGGTCGTGTGATAGAAGTACCAGACGGCGATGGTGATGAGACCGAGCTGGAGCGCCGGCGAATTGTGATAGAAGCGCTTGCCCTCTGCGAAAAATATTTATTATAATCTCTCTGTTATCTTCTGGCACGTTTCGAAAAAATTTTTTGATACGAATTAATGTATCGAAATTTCGTACGGAGATTAAAATTGTAACTTGGCCATCCTATACGCGCGCGATTGTCCAAGGTCAGCTGCTGCGGCGAGAGAGAGAGAGAGAGAGAGAACGATGTATATTATGTCGAGAAATTGCAACTACAAAATTTGACACACCCGAATCGCGCGTATGAAATTTTTTTTCAACAAAGAAAGTCCCGCTTTTAAGGTTAGAAGTAGGTTTTTAAGGACTCGCGCCCTTGCGAAAATTGAAGAAGAAAAAATTTTAAACTGCACTTTACATCTATTTTTTTCTAAAACTTTGTCGAGAAAATGCTCCGCGCACACAGTTGTACGTTATATACACACCGCGTGCAGATTTCGAGCAGAATTCCAATTCAGCAGTTGTTTCTAAATTTACACGAATTACACTTTTTTTTAGGAGACACCTGATGATTTCAAAACTTTACTCCTCGCAACCTTGATCACAGATTCTCGAAAGGTATATACGCAGAGTAATTCTGTACAAAAGAGGCACGCGTAAACTGTGTAAATTCACTTGTAAGTTTCAATTGTTCTCCGAAAAATAAACCGTTTTTTTTTTTTTTTTTTGTTTATTTCTATATCTTATCGCTCGGGGCTCACCTTTCACTTGGTAAACCACCCGTTGATCCATTGTCTTATGATTCTTTGTCGCAGCCGCGCGTACTCCTCCGCACCCGGGACCGTCCGCTCGGCTCTGCGGCTCGTTAATGTTTTAGTGTATAGGTAATAGTAGCGCCGAAAAATTTTTGGCCGACCGATATTGATATTTTGCCTCGGTGACGTAACCTTTTATCGGCAGAAACCCGTATTGTAAGTATTTACCCACACGCTTATTCCCCGCGACTATATATATACACTTATAATGTGCCGGCAGGCGGCATGTGTGCGTAAGTCGCCGGCAGCAGATTCCAAAAAAAGTTTTGGCAAAGAACATAAAGAACTGCGGCCTTTTGAAATTCGACGATGCGCGATCCCCCGCTTGCTCCCACCACAATGAACTATTTTAATGGAAGAGGGGAGTATTCGTATAGTTTAAATTTAAATTGTATGACGAGAGGTTATTTATTTATTTTTTGTTTTACCTTAGTTATTAATTTATTAGTAAAATTCTGCTCGTCAAATAATGTTAACATTAATTTTTAGCAATTGAAATTGGCATTTTTTGCTAAAAAAATAATAGAACTGGTGCATAAATAAAAAATATTAATTTACTGGGAACTGTATGACTATTAAGTCATTAATTTTCGACATAAAAAGTGCTTTTAATTTGATTTTCAAATATAATTTGAAAATTTTTCATTCGCGCGTTGCAGTCGTGTATTGACATGACGTCACGAGTCGGTCACGCATTCAATAGGTAAAACCAACGAACTCCACAGCAGAATACAAAACCACCTCTCAATGTTTTGATTACTTTAACCTCTTGCCAAGTGTTTAGTTTACATCGTATGAATATTTGCTTTTTATTTCTGTATTAAAAATAGTAAGTATGTAAATAATAGTTAAAGAGTTGTACGGGTTAGTTTATGGTTACTTCGTGCATAGAATTATGTATTATAAATTTATGTGTAGTGAATGTGCAGTTTCTTGTTTGTGTATTTTCATTGCGTACCAGTAAAATTGAAATGTGAAAATTTACAAATAATATATGAGCAGCAATTATTATAAGGAATCTGTTGAAATATTTTTAACAAATAAATTATTGCTTTTCAGGTTAATATAAAAAATGGATGTATCTAATGCTTCTAATGGTCTCGACAACAGCAGTTTTGAGAATGGAGATTTACATGATGCAGAAATTGAATTTGAGAGCGATGAAGAAGAATTGACATCTGATAAGGCTTTACAAGTGCTAGAAAGCGCGTGGCTCAATGAAAAATTTGCTCCAGAGCTCTTGCCTCACCAGCAACTATTGGTCGAGTGCATGGTACAACAAATCAAACACATGGAAGAAAATGTCCAAAGGTATTATTATATTACAAAGCAATTTACCGGTATTCGATTCAAAGTTATATTAAATTGTAATACATTTTAAGGCTTACTAAAGGAGATATTCGCATTAACATTCACACAATGGAAATATGTAGAATAAGATTCATCATATCGAGTTACTTGAGAAAAAGATTGGATAAAATTGAAGAATTTGCCGTACACCTATTGAAAGAAGATGCAAGACGATCTCCCGACGAGAAGTACATGACAACCGCCGAAGCACAGTTCGCGAGAGACTATCTCTCGAACATCGAAAAATTGTTCGAAACGGTCGCGCTGCAGCACATGCCACAGAGATGCGCGAATTTCGATCTCGATGCGATATCGACCGAACCGAACCTGAAGAAGCACGTGTTCGCACGAGCCAACAAAGACATCCCAACCATCCTGATCTCCGGAGTCCACGAGATGGAGGTGAGCTTCGCCAAGGGCTCGCAGCACATCATCCAGTACAGCGCTATCGCTCACCTGGTGAAGGACGGCAGCGTCCAGTTGATATAAGCACCTATTATTATTATAATCGCCCTCGATGGGCGCCTGTTGTATAGATCGAATTTCGTATTGTAAATACGCGTTAAATTTGTAAATTTTTATATCGTACTTAAGCTCATTAAAACTCATTTTTCTTACATTTACAATAACATTTCTATCTTATTTCGTTAAGAGATATACATCGACCAACACACAGCACACAGTACAACGACAGAGAAAAGTTTAACTACGTATATTTACAGGAAAATTGAATTATTTACACAACAACCACACACACAACATGATCGAGTCATCGACATCTTATATATGTCTATCCCTCAGGCGCACGACTTTCCATCGTTCATTATGTTCTTGCCATCCTCGCAGAGGCAGAGCTCCTTCACGTCCGTGGTGACGTTGACGCTGTTGCCGGGCCTGTTGCTCACCATCACGGGGGTCCGAATGCAGAACTGCCTACAGCCTCCGTTGTTGAGGGCGCACGCGTTGTCCCGAGCCACCGGCTGCGAGCTCGCCGCGTACAGCTTCACCCCGGCGATCGGCTCGGCAACACCTTCCTCGTGCACGGGTAACAGCTTGAGGCCTGCGTGACCGGTGCGCTTGTCGAAACGCCAGACGCCGCCGAGGCTCGCCGCGTACACGTGACGCTCGCCCACCGTCAGCGAACGAAATGCCCCCCCATCGACGTCGTGGTCGTCGTGGTCCAGGCGAAGATCGAAGCTCTGCGGATCGCTGCCGTCGTACTGGGCGTGATAGACGCGGCTGCCGTTGCGGCCCAGCCAGTAGAGTCTCGCCTCGTGCCGATCGCAGGCCAGGCCCGTCTCGTTGACGTCGCGCCACTCGCGCACGTACTCGACCCTGGTGCCGTGCGAGCGATAGATGTAGGCCTGGCCCTTGAACAGCACCGTGAAGAAGTAGTAGGCGCGATTCGGATCGAGGGCGATGCTCACCACCTGGCCCCGATTCACGCCGAAGCTGCGCAAGGTCTTGATCAGGTGTCGTCTCGTCGTTGATAATTGTCCGATCGTCGTCGTCGGCCTCATCACGGCGATCTCGTGGCCGACGTTGGTACTATCCTGCTGTTGTTGGGGCTGAAGGCCGCATTGGTTGTCCAGGATGTGATAGACGTCGCCGGTTATCCAGTCGTAGGCCAAGCCGCGCACGCACTTGCGCCCGGCCATCACGTAGGTGATCTGCTGCTGCTGCTGCTGGGACTGGGACTGCTCGAGATTCACCAGGTGCAGACTGGCCTCGTCGCTGAAGGCCATCCGCGACGAGTTGTAATCATAATCGAAGTCGACGAGCTGCCGTCGGCCGCCCTTGCGCACCAGCGGATGTATCTCGATGGGCAGCAGGGCGTCGGTGAAGGCTTCTCCGGCTGCTGCCGCGCTTCGATGATCGTCCGGCAGTACGCGTCCCCGAGCGAAATCGCCCCGCACGTAGAGCAGATAGTCGCTGAGACGCTCGCAGCTCATGAGATCGGGGCCGAGCCTGTGGCCGATGTAGCAGGCGCACGAGCGGCCCCCGTTGCGACGCAGCAGACAGAGCTGCTGGCAGCCGCCGTTCGCCCGGCCGCACGGATTCGCCGGCAGTCGCGGATCGACCTGGCTCGACGATACCCTGATCAGTCGCGGCTCCTCGAAGTCGATCTGGCGCGTCTCCTCGCAGACCCCGGGACTGACGGAGCTGCTACCGCCACTGCTACTGCTGCTGGACGACGGCGAGGCGATGGTGCAGCTCCACAGGCTACGCCTGTGACCGCTGGCCTGCAGAGTCCTGGTGAAGAGCAGCCGATTGGCCCTGGGCACGACGGCGAGACTGGTGGTCTCGCTCGAAAGCTTGGCGATGACCTGGCGCCCGCGGCCGTAATAGTCGCAGCGCGCGATCTGCACCGAGTCGGCGTAGTAGATCAGCCGATTGTGCCGGTCCAGGGCCATCGCGGCGAGGCTCGGATCGATCACGACGCGCTCCGCGCCGCTGCCGTCCATCTGGGCTTTGAGTATCTGCAGATCGATCATTGATTTGATTAGATACGTGAGAGGTGAGTGCAATTAGCGTGGATTAGAGCGCGAGATGCGTGTCAGGGTCGTGTGCCGCTGTATATAGGGGTAATTACTGTTAGACTAATTTTTTAATTGAGAATGTTAAACGATTCGAGATTACACTCGAAGATGTTTACAAAGAATTTTAGAAAGGAAATAATAGAACGATGTGGTTCCATTGATTTATTTGAAACTCAGCTTCAGAAATTAAAATCTGAGTAAAACTGTACAAAAGTGTTTCAAAGTTTTATGAAAGTTATACAAATTTATTAATGTTTTTTCCGACTCGAAGTATCAGCTGATCGTTTGAGTTAAAAAAACGATTTATAAACTACAAGATTATAAAAGTTTTTGAAAATGAATAATATAGCTATGCACAGATTCCATTTCCATCAGGGCACAAACTTTTATACACTTTTATACTCTTCATTTTGGGCACATAAAAGTTTATACGAATTTATAAATTGTTTGTTTAACTAAAAAAAAACAATCTGAACTTCCTAGTCTGACAAAATATTTAACTTTTCAAGATTTTATGAAAGTTTATAAAACGCTTTTGTACACTTTTAGAGGGCTTTGAATTTAAACTCAAAATTGACTGAAATTTACAACTGAATATTGATACAATTTTTTCAATTTTAAAATAATTTTATCAATTATTTTAAACTGAAACGAAAGAACAACTCTTGACCTTTTATAAACTTTTATACATTTTTAAAAGCTTTGACCTTTTATTCTTAATCCTTAACTAAAGAAACCAACTAAACTTTCTAGTTGGACAAAATATTTAATAAACAATAATTTCAATAAACTTTAAGTTTATAAAAGTTAAGAAATTTATAACATTTACATTAATTTTTGAAGTTTATTGAAATTTTCAAAGAGAAAATTTATTGAACATTGAATTCATTGAATTAAAAAACTATTTTAAACTGAAATAAAAGGTCGTGACTTGAGTTTTTAACTCAAAGTTAAGTAAACTTACTAGTTTGATGAAACAATTAAAAAAATCTTTCAAAAACACATGTGTTTATTCAGTTTTTAGTTTCAATTTAAAACTAACTGAACTTCCTAGTCAAACCTGGATTTTTGACACTCCATTTCCGTATATTTGACAAACTTACCGAATCGGATCTCTGCAGTATGAATATCCAACCACTCGCCGAGTCCAGCGCCAGGTCCGCGGGACGCGTCAGATCGGCCAGCGCCAAACCGTAGCCTCGACCCTTTAAATCAAAGATCAGCAGAGTCGAGGCTCGCCCGTCCAGCGCGTAGAGATTCTCGGCCAAGTGGTCGACCGCCAGCGCGACGGGATCCCAGTCGCGCGGAACGCTGTACCTGTTGGCCGCGTATCTCGGGCAGAGCGACTCGATCCAGCTGGAGTTGTTGGCGCGCCAGAAGATGCAGGGTGGCTCGGCGACGAACTGACTACGGCCGCCGCCGCTGCCCTCCTGCTGGAGCTGGAGCATGACGGCGAAGGCGCCGATGCCGCTGAACGACCTGGCGACGATGCTGCGATTTCGAAAGCCATGACTGCTGCTTCCGTCGAGATCGAGTAGCCACAGGTCGCGCTCGTCGCTGATCAGCACGTCGTCGCCCCGCGAGCTGTCGTCTGCACACGCGCGCGCGGATACGAAAAGAGCAACGTATGAGTAATTCATTCAAGAATTTTCCTTATCTATCTGGTGTGTACTTGCCGGTGAATATGACGATCAAGGTGACGACCAGTGCCAGGACGAAGCAGCCGAAGAGGACGCCGAGTATGAAGCAGGGCTTCCTGGCCAGCAGTCGGCACCTGGCGCAGTACGAGTCGTCCTCGATCACGCGAATCTCGTCCATCGCTTGTAATAATTAATAATAATAAACAAATATCACTGCATGCTAAGAATTATTGTACATTCGCAATAGGCCGCGGCCCGGCGCCGTCGTCGATCGTGCACGAGCGTAGACGCGCGACTAAGGAGTCAAAAATTTCTCAGCTGCACTACATACGCGCGTCGCGATAACAGAGAATTGAGTCACGCACAATAGCGTATATAATACGATGGCATATAGGCGTGTATTGTTCGCACGGCAGGTGCCAAAACGCCTTTGAGATATGTAAATAACGCTCTAATCTTTCGCGTGGGCAAATTTCAAGTCCGTTCGAGACGCGCGTACACTATTTTCTAATTCGGAACGAGAATAACATACAGTACGTATGATTTGAATGAGCTTATTTGGAAGTATAGATTTTTTTTAAAGAAAGAATTTTGACGTGAAACGATGAGATCGCTGTTTATTACTATGTTCAAATACCATCAACATTTAAATACAAGAACAACGTTTTTTATAATGTATTAATACTAACGCACTTAAGTGACGACAAGACGAGCTTAAATTTTGTAAACATAACACAACTACTTTTAAATTAAAGTATAAAGAACAACACTGACTATACGCAGTGACAAACAATGCAAATAATTCGATAAACACGCACTTAATTGCTACGAGTCGATTTAGAAAATTTTAAATATTTCTACTTTTAAATCAAAAAGTACAATAGACAACGTTAACTATACGCAATGATAAACGATGCAAACAATTCGATTAACATGCACTTAATTTCTAAGAGTCAAATCGAAAACTTAAAACAATAATTACTTTTAAATCAAAAAGTACAATAGACTATAAGTATAATCAAAGGCAAACGATGAAAAAAAATCGGCTCTGAAGTAATTTCAGAAATCGAAAAAAAATTATTAGAAATTTTACATGGAACAATGACTTCTTATAATGCCACTAGATCAGGATCGGCATTTTCATCTACATTTTCTTCGCCTTCTTCATTTTCTCCGTTTTCTACCTCTTCTTCGTTCTCTTCCTCGTTCTCTTCCGGAATCGAAGATGAAGGGACTGCAGTAGAATTCTTAGCTTTCTTAGCTTTCTTAGCACTCGGAGGATTTTTATTCTTTACCACTGGTTTATCCATAGAGAACAACTTTTTCAGATCTTCTATCGTTAATTTGTGACATTTATTTTTCGACAACACGTTCGTTGCTACTAGAAGTTTAGAGTCTTGAAGTTCCTTTATCTTTTCTTCAATGGTATCTTTACAAATAAATCTAGAACAAATAAATTTTTAAGATTTTGATAAAAAAATAATTATTCAATAATTTGAAAAAATATTAAAATAATCAATTCATCAGCTTACTTGTATATTTTTACATTGTTTGCCTGTCCAAATCTGTAAATACGATCTTGTGCTTGGGTTTCCCACTGAGGATTCCAATGTAAATCTACCAAAATCAAATTGTTCGCACCAACTAAATTTATTCCACATCCACCAGCGGTTAGCGATAATAGCAATGTATTGAGATCATCATTAGAGTCATTGATTCTATCAACAATATTCTTAAAAAAAAATCATTTCAATTACAACATTAAATAGGAGAATATTATTTACTACTTGTGGGATTTTAAATCATTACCTGACGTTCTCTCACATCGGTTGATCCAAAAAATTTGGCAAATTTAGCTTGAGGCACTGTTTTTTCCAAAAACTGACCAATTAAGTTCAAGAAACCTGTCCATTGTGAAACAATTACTACTTTTTCTCCATTGTTAAGGACTTCTTGAACTTTAGATAGTATAGCTTTAACCTGAGAAAGATCAATTGATAGATTAAGTTACCATATTTTTTTGAGAATAGCTTAGTTCAAAATGAAAAGTATGAAGAGCAAAATGGTAGCTTACTTTTGAACTTAATCTCATTTCAGCAAAAACTGGATTTGAGCGCGACAATACTTTTCTAACCATGCGTTCGTCAATATCTTCACTATCGTCTTCGTCTCCAGAATCACTTTCATCCAAAACATCATGCAAATTAGATAACATAGATTCATTGGCTCCTCTTTCATCATCGTCTAATTCATCTGGTTCAATCATCATTTTTGCTAATGATGGATGACAGCATACTTGTCTTAATCTCAACACAAGAACCAAAAGTTCAGTATGATCCACTCTATACGAGTGAGACATAAGAAGTTTCATAAGTTTTCCCAATTTCTTTGGTATCTCTGAAAATGCAAAAATTTATGTAAATCATTAAAATTTCAATTCTTATTTCTTAGTTTATAAAAAAAATCATCAATTACGTTGTTCAAAAAGACTAGGATTCCTGTTATAGCAACCATAAGCATCTCCTTTTTTCTTATTTAAAAATTCATTGAGAAACTGTTGCGAAAATAATAAAAGCTTATGATATAGAGCTTTTTCTTGTATATCTAATTTTACTTCTATGATCTCTGATTGTTTTTCGGGTAGCTCTGGTACAGCATTTTTCATTATCAATTCCTCTTTTGTTCTCCTCAGCATAAGAGCTTTTGTAAGAACAGCTAGTCTTTTATTGCCATTTTCACTTTCATTGGAAACCCAACTTTTCCAAGTAACCCAATCATCAAATGGTTTACATTGTAAAAATTTCAATAAAGCATAAAAGTCATCAGCTTTGTTTTGAATGGGAGTACCAGTAAGTACCCACTTGTGCTTTGATGTCAACTCACAAACTGCCTTACACACCTTAGTTTTACAATTTCGAATGTAATGAGCTTCATCCAAAATCACCCTTTCCCAGTTAATCTTAAATAATCGAGAGTCTATAGTTTTTCCTGCTTGTACGTGATTAACATATTCTGCAGCAACTGCATGGTATGTTGTAACAACAACATCGAATTTGCTTAAACTTTTAGAGCTTCGCTGTTTATTAACTCCATGGAATACAAAAGAATTCATAAAATTACTTTTACAACATTTAGATACTTCATTATCCCATTGTTTTACCACTGATGCTGGACAAACAACCAATGTACCTCCATCATATCCTTGAAAGAAAAAGTGTATGAAATAAAAAGAATCATCAAAAAATTTGTATTTTCATTACTGTTCATACTTTCTTTAATTGTTGTAGGAAGTCCCCAATCTTCACCATCGCTGTCATCATCATCATTTGTATCAATAGCATTTTTCTTTTTTTCATTTTTAGAAGACAATATCAATGATATCATTTCTATTGTTTTTCCCAAACCCATGTCATCAGCTGTAAGAACAAAAAAAAATTAATTTGAATGTCTTTATAAATTAGAATGTGTTTTAGATGCTTTGAACAACGATTATGCACCAACCGAGAATACCACCGCTTGGTTTTTGAGTTTCTCTCCACAGAAGCCATTTTAAAGCTCTTTTTTGATGAGGCATAAGACGAACTTTCAAACCAGTAGGATTTTTATCTACAGAATTTGTAGGTCGTGATTGAAGCTGCACATGCAGAGATTTAATGCAATCACTAGTCACTGATCGTTGATGAAAATAGTCAGCCATGCGTTTTTCTCCAAGACCTTGCAGAGAAAAGTTAGCACGAGGCTTATCTAGAATAGTGTTAATGTCAAAGTTTATGTTGTCATCAGGATTTGCAAAGATGCTTTCATCGAAATCTACATTGTATGTATCATCTAATTCTTCGTCATCAGTGTCTTCAGAGAGATCTTCTTCATCACTATCATTATCAATAGGACTGGATTCATTCAGCTCAGATGATTTTGAACTTGATCCACAAGTATTTTGGCTCACTTGCTTTATATGAGAAGGACTTGCTTGAGCTAGCTGAACATTTCTAAGAACATTATTTTCATGAATATCCTTAACTGATAAACGTTTTAAAACTTTTCGAGGTGTGGCATAATCTGATTGAAAATAATAGAGATAAAATTGATATATTAATGCTTGTTAGGATAAAAAAGGTTGGTGTATAGGTATACAATTAATAATATAAACGTCTACAAAAATATAATTGTATTAAAAGTAATTTTTTTACCTTCATTGCAGCTTTCATTTGATGGACTTTTATTTTCATTATTGGAATCTTCATCCAAGTGCCTTTTTTGAGAATTACCATTTTGCTTAATTTCTGAAAATTCAAAATTTTAAATTAATGATTTAATTTCTGTTGCAACAAACAAGATTAAAATCAATTAATACCTGAAGATGACCACATGTACTTTGGAGATATTGTAAAAGTTGGTTTCGGAAGAATTATAGGAATTGATTGTAGATCAATTTCAGGACTTGCTCGTAGATTAATCAAAGGACTTTGTTGTGGACAAATTTTAGGACTTGATTGTGGAAGAACATTAAGACTTGGTTGTAAATGAATGTTAGAATTTGGCTGAGGAAGAATGTTAGTAATTGGTCGTGGTTCAGGACTTGGTGGTTTTATCAGATCATCATTATTGGGCGAAACAGAACATTCGGCATGCAATATGTCTAGTTCTGGAAATTCATCCAACAAATCGGATATTGTAGTAGGTAATTCATCTGGTACATCTTCAACTTGTTCTTTTTCAACGGTAGATGATCTAATGAAAAAAAAATTAAATATTTCAATGTTGTTTGGCACAAGTATTAGATATTATTGCAACGACACTTTACTTCAAAAAAGTATCCAAATCAAAATTGAGATCGACTTCAGTGCGTTTGGGTTCCAATTTTTTGTAAGTCAACAGGGGTGATTTTTGAACAGATCCAGTTTTTGCTGCAGAAGCTCTATTGGCTACTGGTTGTTTGGCAGGAGTTGCTTTGGAAACTTTAGCTTTGGTCACATTTGATTTTTTTGACGGGGGCTCAGAAAGCCCTTTGGTATTTGCCATTCTTTTGGCAGTTTTTGATCTAAAAGCAGATACCAATTTTATTTTATAGATAGCCCAATAAACATAAATATGAGTTCGGGTGTAATTGCGAGATCGAGAAAAGCAACAACAAATCGAGACGATGGAGATAATGCACACCTACCTCGTTTGAACCATCTTATTCGAATAGACGATCGACAGTCGATAAGCGAGACAGATTTTTTTTTAATGCAATAGAGCGATTAGCGTAGATTAAAGCGATTGTTTAGTAGAATATAAAGCTGATGAAATTGATGAGATTGATGTTTATGCCCATTACGTTACCACTTTGAGTTACCACGAACAGCTTCACAAATACAACACACACGTGCGGAGAGACAGCCACCTTACTCCCATGAACGTCAAGCTACAACTGAACGGGTTGAGATGACTCGTATCACGAGGTGATACGCTTCATACGCATTACTTGGGAAAAGTGAAAAGTCACGATAGGCGCCGGAAAGAGATGCGCATTTGTTTTTATCATCAGGCGATCGAACGGGCGCTGAAAGGGTTGCCACGCTAATTGTACACCCATGTGGATAAGTGGTGCCAACTTGACGAGTGCGGGTTTACCTATAATGAGTTTGAAATGACAGCGGCTGTCAGAATTTCTTTCGGAAATGTGAATGTTGTTGTCGAGCTTTTGGGCTCGGGTAGGAAATGACCTTTTTTTAATTAATTTATGGAAAAGTCGTATTTCGATAAAGACAGAATTATTATTTTTTCAACAACAAAAAAGTGAATATACGCAAAATGTAGCGGCGATAAAGATGAACAATCACTACGTGAAAAAAGCCAAGACCGACATTATTTATCACAGCTTTGAAAAAATGTAATTAAAACGTCGAATAGGGATGTTATTTTAACGAAGATTGAATTTAAAAAATTGTCAAATGATCTTTATAGGGGATTAATGGAAGTGGTTGTTCTATAGTGGACACGCACTCGCACGGTCTCTTTTTTGGGAACAGACCAGGAACTACAGGAATTACTTGAGAAGATAAGATATTTTTTTCCAAATTACTTTATTTCATAGGGGCATAGTTGATATGCCCGTAGTATATATTTTTCAGTCAATTTAATGATAACATTTATTTTTTAGTTTTTTATCAAAAACACTTAAGTGTATTATTTACAGGAAGAATTAAATTAGCTTGTACATCATGTAACTTTATAAATATCAATAATAAAAACAAACTCTTATTGAATAGAATCATCTCAAATTTGTAAATCAACAAATTATGAATGTCCAACTACAAAATAACTAATATTTACATAATATTGCAATAGTTAATAATAGTAGTAATAAAATTGAGTTTATCACAAGTCACGTTTAATCGTAATAAATTTAAGCTTCACTTTTCAGTACCGGAGTGGTGAACTTTTTCGTTGCTATTGGCATTTTTTATGCTACCATTACTTTTTACATCTACGGCATCGATGAACTCCGAGTCGGAATTGTCAATTTCTTTATTGCTACTGGCACTCTTCGCACTGACATTGCTTTGCACCTCAACAGAGTCATTCATTTCGGTATCAGAATTTTCAGTTTCTTTGACACTACCTACGCTCATTGCACTCTTGTTACTCTCTACGTCTACGGTATCGGTAAATTCTGAATCAGAATTATCTACACTTTTTTTATTATCTACATTTTTCACACCGCCATTATATTGTGTTTCTACGGCGTGAGTATTTTCAGTCACTGTTTCTGTTTTATTGATAAGTTTATACATCTGAAACATGGAAAATATTTTGTAACAATTGATCTTCAACTTTGACGCACAATAAATGATAATTATTACCTCTTGGGCATCCTTCTTTAATTTCTCATACTTAGTCTCTCCCATTTGTTTGGCAAGTTTTGTAAATAAACTATTTTCGTTCTGAAGCAGAACATGAGGATGATCGTACTCGATCACTCTACCATCGTCGATAACGAGCACTCGATCGTTATCTAGCACGGAGTCTAATTTGTGCGACACCGTTATGACAGTGCAGTCCGAGTACTTCGAGCGAATCGTGTTTCGCACGAGCGCGTCTTTTTCTGGATCGACGCTTGCCGTGGCTTCGTCCAAAATGATGATTCGCGTATGTTTGAGGATCGCTCGAGCCAAGCACAAAAGTTGTCGTTCGCCAGCGCTGAAACGTTAACGAGTATGTAAAATCTACGATTCGTATTGCGACTTTTGTTGGCTTGTTGTTACCTCAAACCCGAACCGCTGCATTCTATCGGATGGTCCAGAGGCTCGCCTTTATTACATTTAGCACCCTCGAGAGCGGTCCACAATTGAACATCGTTGAATTCGTGAAATGGATCGAGATTGTCCCTGTAGGAAGCCGAAAAAAGTACGGTTTCTTGAGGGATAACGGTGATTCTCTTTCTCAATTCGTACAGTGAAACCGAGCTGATGTCAATGTCATCGATAAGCACTTGGCCTTCTCCTTGAGCAAGCCTAAACAAAGCTGAAATTAACGAAGATTTCCCAGCTCCTGTTCGACCAACAATTCCAATCTGTAAAAAATACAACAATTAGATTTAAAGCGTAAAAATATTTATTCTGATGTTTATATTTCTATTGAATTCATTCGTTTATATTACCTTTGAACCAGCTTCTATGGTAAAATTGACATCTCTCAATGCAAAATCTGCATCATCAGCGTAACGCAGATTGTAATTCTTGAATTCGATTTTGCCTTCACTCGGCCAATTATTTGGTTTTATTGCTGTCAACGCTTTCTCGTCACTTTCTTCCTGCTCCAAATCTGTAAATTGTAAAATTCGTTCCACGCTTGTCATTTGGGTGGCTGTTTCTGCAGATTGACGAATGCCACGTTGCAGCATACCACACAGCATTAGAACCTGATGAAAGATTATTCAATACAATTCATTAATCCCCAAATGAACGAGAACCACTGGGTATAATTGACGTTTTACCTGAGTAATTATAAGTCCAACTTCACCCGCAAAGGTATTAGGACCACTTATGAGAAGAAACAGGATAACACTGGCCACGACTCCACAAGAAACAAGATCGAGCCACAATCCAAAGGCTGAAGAAACAACGATGTGCAAATAATGGGCGCTCGTGTGTTCATTCTGCAGGGTATCGAACTGCTTGGAAATAAATGTCTGAGCTCGATTCGATCTTATCGTTACCATGCCCTCTAACGAGGAAATAGCATGAGAAAATACAGGACTTTTTGCTGTAAGAGAAAAAAGAATTATAATAAATATTTCACGAACGTAAAAAAATGTCAAATAGATAATCCCACCAACCTGCCCCTTCTAATCGTTTAATGCCATAAGCAATAGGAACGTAAAGATTACGAATTTTTAAATAAACAATAGCGGCTGCGATAAGTGGCAGTATTGACCACCACTTGACGATGAACACTTGAAATAATACGCCCAAAATAATGGAAAATACTTCGATTGACTCGTGTAACGTTAGAGGTAATGTTTCATCCATACTTCCGGTATCCTTCGAGAATCGATTAAGTATTCTTCCTGCAACAAAATAATTAAAGTATACTCGGCGTTGAAAAATTTTAAATTTTTCATTTCGACTTCTTACCAGATGACTGTTTATTGAAAAAACTCAGAGGTGCTTTTAAAACGCACGAGAACATTTCATTATGGATTTTCCTACTCGAATTCATGCAGACTGTATACAACAGTAGAATTTTGCTGATTGTTGTCAAAATACAAAAAAACAGTATGCTTCCATATATCATTAGAGACAAATCCATCTCCATATATTTCGGTTCTTCTTGTGTAGAATTAATCATCGATTGATTCAAGTACGACGAATTATTATTTATACTCGTCACAGTAGTCGACAATAAATCTTGAATTAAAGTCGTACTCTCTGTTACATTTAATGTGGAAGCATCAGTAGTCACATTAGCTGAAAGAGTAAAACTGCTTTCAGTATTTACAGCATCTATAGTGCTAGCTACAGTACTAGTGGTTTGATTTTTTACAACGTCTATAATAGCAGTGGTGGTTTGGTCTCTTATAACGTCCATAATCGTACTAGCGGTTTGATTTTCTACAGGATCTATGATATTTCTGACGGTTCGATTTTTTACTGCTTCGATAACAGTACCGGTGATTTGACTCGTTACAGTATTTGTATTAGTATTGTTGGTTTGATTTTTCATAGCTTGTTGGGCCAAGTAACTCATTCGAATCTCTTCATTTTTTGTCCTGAAAAAAAAAAGATTATAATTTTGAACATATTCACATTAAGAAACTGAATACAACCTCGCGGTCTTACCAATAAGCCAACCAGTAATCAGAGCCACATCTGACGATTTGTGCGATGAAAAAGAACAAGAATGTAAGCCCGAGTAAAAAATCCGAATTTCCAGTTCGAAAGTAACGTAAAAATATCGATGACTTCATTTTCCCTTTAGCAATGAGTTCTTCGGTCTCTTGTGGATCACCTTTGTCATCGTTTTTCGATGGTTTCAGTGTAATATGATCAGACTTATTGTTCAAGTAAGTGTTTTTTTGATTGTTGATATTTTCGATCACTTTCGAATTATCAGTCTTTTCTCGATCGCCGCTCGACAATTTCAACAGCTCTAACTCTTTCTCAGAAAGGTTTGATAATTTTCCTTGCATTTCTAGTGTTCCCTATGAATTCGATAGAAAATAACGTATTAGATCAAATATATGCGTGATAAAGGAGGAACATGATAGAACTCACATTTTTAATTAAAAATATGGTATCGGCCTGCCTCAGACACTGCATGTTGAACGTCACGATGATTCTGGTGTTATCTTTTAAAAATCCATTGATACAATCGTTGATTATGTGCTGAGCGACCGTCGCATCTACCGACGATAGCGGATCGTCGAACACGTAAATGTCCGCCTGTCTGTACACGGCCCTGTAAGCGAAATCGATCGTGTGATTAGTACAATTGTCCGCGAGTTGCGACAGAAATTTTCCATATACGGAACGCGCACCTTGCCAAATTTATCCTGGTACGTTGTCCACCGCTGAGATTCGTGCCCTTGTCCTCGACCAAAGTTTCGTCTCGCAACGGCATCGTTTCGAGGTCGCGCTCCAGTGCGCAGCATCGGATCACCGACTGGTAGCGAGCCTCGTCGAAGCGCTGATCGAAGACGATATTCTGCCTGATCGTGCCGGGAAACAGCCATGGTTTTTGAGAAGCGTAAGCGATGGTGCCTCTGATCACGAGACCTCCCAACGATTCGCGCAACTCGCCGAGCATCGAGTAAATCAACGTAGTCTGTCGAACGATACGTACACATGAATTTATAAAGATACATTATCGCCAAAAAAAAAAAATTATGAATTTCGTCGTTACTTTTCCGGAGCTCGTGGGTCCTATTATGGCGTGCAGCTGCTTCGGAGTTATGTACATGGTGACGTTGTGCACGGTATTGGCGATGCGCTTCTTCGTCCACGACACCGTCATGGAATTGATCGATATGCTGGCGTTCTCCTCCGCGGACAGCGTCGGCGCCTTGATCTTGATCTCCTTGACGATCAGAAATTTCTCGATGCGCTTGACGGAGACGCGCGCCTCCACGGCGTTGGCCACCGCCCGGGGAAAATTGTACGCCCAGAGATTCTGCAGTATCGTGAAGTACGCGACCATGGTGAAGACCTTGTCGGCCGTGATCGAGCCGCCGATCAGCGCGTAGGTCGCAATGGTCAGAAAGAGGCAGGTGCGATCGACGAAGGCATTGGACGATATTATCACGCCGCGCAGATACGACATGTAGGAGATGACGTCGATCTCGTAGCTGCGCGCGCGCGACACGATGTACTCGAAGGGCCGCTCCCAGGCGTACATCTTGATCACCTGGATGCCGTGTATGAGCTCGGCCATCAGTCGCACCCGCTCGTCGGTCCTCGCCGCGATCTTTTTCCGGTACCTCGTCGTGATCATACCCGCGCAAACTGCGAGGAGGCAAAAAAAAAAAAAAAAAAAGCAACAAAATAAAAAGTCAGTTAACTATTGAAATTGTCGAAAGACTCCTCACCCTGCAATGGTACGGTGACGAGGGCCATGGTGAGTACGCCGGCCAACGCGGAGATCTGCACCTTCTCCCAGATGAGGTAGCCGATGCAGCAGGTGGCCAGCGGCGTCAGCCAGACGTAGTGCAGATACATGAAGAGCTGATCGAAGCGGGCCACGTCGTTCGACAGCAGATTGACCATGCGGCCCGAGGTGCCGCTGTTTACCGCCGTCGTGGCCAATCTCAGGGTCTATAAGAAATGAAAAGAAAGTAAATAAATACAATCGTCGCTGATACAAAAATTATGTAAATTATTTACCTTGCGGTGTACGAGGGCCGAGCAGGCGATCCTCAGCCGCATGCCGAGCCTCAGCGTGCCCAGATCTATGTGGTGCTTGAGAAAGCTGTGCAGGAACGTCGCCAAGATCAGCACCGCGGCGTAGCCGTAGGCCTGATTGGCCGTCGTCTCGGAGCCCCTCTCGAAATATTTAATGAGCCAGCCGAGCGCGACGGGCTGCAGTATCCTCAGGCAGTTGAGCAGCAGCATCGGCAGCGCGTAGAGCGCGTACGACCAGCCGAACACCCTGCAGACGGGCCGCAACAGTCGGGGCTTCCTCTGGCGCGACCGGGCCTCCTCCAGCTCCTCGCGCCAGTGTCGCTCGAGACGGCCCGCCAGCAGCTCGCTGTGATCGCTCGGCAGCGCGGCGTACAGATCCGTGCGGGCCAGGTCGCGTCGCTTTTGCTGCGACCGCTCGATGATCTTGCCGAGCCATCTGTGTTGTCGTATACGAGTGTCGAGTATCCGCGGGTGAAACCAGATATTATAGATTTCAGAATAATGTATTATCGTTTTTCCAAAACCGCGAGCTGCGCAGCTGCAGCTCGTTATTATTACGTTGTTGTTTTTGTATTTTATTTGCGATCGATCGAGTACGCGCGAACCGGTAACGAAATCACGTGCGACGCGCGCGAAATCTTCGCGGGTAAATAAAAATAAAAATACGAGAAAAAAAAGAAACATCAAATTCTCGCGTTCTCGGCGCGCGAATGCAACGCAACTGCAACCGGTTCAATAGCGAGCTGCGAGAGACTCGTGTACACGTTCATATATGTATGAACAGAGGTCAACGCTCTTCGGTCGCGCGAAGATCTCTTTCTGCGCGCGTGCGAGTTTATCGTCGTCGATGATGTGCTTGCGCGCATATCCTCGCGCGTACAATGTAATCGTGAGATTTTTCGAAAAAAAAAAAATAAAACAATTTTTGACGCTTCCTTTCCATTGTACACACGCACGATGCGACAAGAAAGGACGTAATATCGGTAAAAAAAAAAAGACAATCGTCGTCGAGCAAATGCTTTAAGCTCGACACTCTCGTCGACTTCTCTCTGCGCGAACGTCTTTCTTTATCTTTTATCAGTCGTATTGCAGCCTACGTATAAATGCCGCAGCCCGATAATGTCTAAGATTGCGCACGCGAAGCACCAGAATTTCTGCGATCGACGTGTGTTACGCAATTAAGCAGAGAGAAATTCCAAGAGAGAGAGAGAGAGAGAAAAGCACTCGAATTTTTGGCGCCGACGACGATAACGACAACGGACAGCCGTGCTGTATACTAGCCATTATATAGGCATTGCATTTGAAATTTTAAAATATAGGTGTAAGTAGATAATCGGTTCGAAAAATGGAACGCGAACGAATCACATTTCTCCGTCTCTTTCATTTTTTCTAGATAAAAAAAGAAGAAGACGCGAATAATAGGTAGTAACCCAACCCATTTTTCTAACGAAAAAACTTTTCAAAGAACTGTTTTTTTTTCTTCTATTTTTTGCTCCCATAGGCGCGCGCGTATATTATTCAATGCGACGTTGTTATTAAACGAGTGTCTCGGATTTTTGATACCGGAGCTGCCTCTCGGCGGCGACGGCGTCTCGTGAGTCACACGGCGAATTTCTGCACGCATCAACGCGAGAGGCGATACATCAAAAAAAAAAAATGTTGCAGACTGCAAGCGACACACAATGATATATAATATGTATTTATAGCGTTTATTATCTCATTTCCGAGTCGGCGGAGCGTAGCCGTAATTCAATTGTATAGGCACCCGCGCGCATAATAATGTACACACGATATCGTTGTTTACGTTGTTGAATTCGATTGGTTTTTATTTATTTTGTTTTTGAGCAAAAGAAAAACACTCACCCGAAGACCAATCGGTTGAACAAGCCGGCAGTCAGCCACGGACTCGGCCGCTGCTCGTTACGTTGACCCATGACGATGACTCTTCCTTCCTTCCTTCCGGCCTCGCACGCTCACTACTACGAGTGTGTCTTATGTCTATGCGCGTTTATTATTTTATTACAATAATAATACGCTGTCGTTGTTGGGCTGCGTGCAGTTGGGCTATCGGTATGCACGGGTACGCACGCATGTATAGCGTCGTGTGTATTGTAAGGAGAAGAAGAATGTGTGCGTGCGCTGCGCCGCACAACACCACACTCGCAGAAAACGATATATATCTTCTGCTATATTAAACCGACTATCCGCACGGAGAACAAACAACGGATTCACAAGACGACGAGGAAGAGGAACAACGCGACGACGACGACACCACCGCACTGTATAATAATAACAACAACGACGACGACGGCAATGATGCAGCGTCGCAGTACTTCATACTCGCCGCGGAATTAGCGATATGCCGATATTGTAACACATATATACATATAGAGGAGCAGTCGCTGCTGCTGTTGCTGCTGCCGTCCGAACTCCGACTCGCGTATACATAAGCTACATGGAATGCCTTCTTAGCCGCCGCTGCTGCTGCTGCCTTTCCACATACTATTATATACACGCACGAGTCGTCGTCGCGCAACTCTGTGTGTGTGTGTATGTGCGCGAATATATGCGTGAGTGTTTACTTTTGACTCGCGGCTAAGAGCAGATAGATATAGACACCAAACACGGTGCGTGCACGCGAGAGCGCAGTCCACAGGTGTTTGCACGCCGCCGCCACGAGCTCGCTGCCACTCTTTTTCGATGCGTTTAATTGCACACACTTTTATCGCGACTCGCGCGAGACGGGGAGGAGAGTTTACGTGTATAAAGTTTAAAGCAAACAAACGCGCGATGCACCACACGCGATTTGTAAAATTATCGGTATATATTATGTTGTACCGCGGCGACGATCGTTCAATGCTAATACATACGATACGTATAATGTACTTTTAATGTATATATAATATCGTTACGCTGACACTGCCGCCGCCGCTGCAACGGAGTGCACAGCGCGCAGAGTGTTGTGTGTCTGTGTGTTATATTAAATGTTGTTTTTTTAAGAACACACAGTACTGCAGCACACACATGCACGGCCGGGGCAACGATACGATCGGTCTTTCTTCTCTCGCTCTCCGCGGCGCTCGACTTCTTCTTACTTCTTCTCTCATTCGTGCGCGCGATATCTATATGTGTGTGTGTGTGTAGGACGAGGAGTGGTGGTAGGTATATTGAGGAGTTTTACTCCGCGACGCGCGCCTACACACCATCATCTCTCTCGCCGCCGCTGTTTCTTGCAAAACTCATATTCTTCTTTATCGCTCGTATTATATTGTTATATAGGATGTGGCCTGTGCACATAAGTATTCTCGCCCATATATTTCACGTTGTATTAATATACGCTGCGTCGACATTTTTCGGGTCTCTCTCGCTTCTTTCGCAGACACAATCGAGTCAATTATTCGGAACTTGATTGACTGTCCGAGCGCAAAAGAGCAATGAACATTTGAAAGCGAGACGTCGATCGTTTCTGAGAAAAGCAATTCTTTTTCTTTTCGTATAACTTTCATCAGTCGGCGAACTTGCACGAGCGAGCTTTTCATTTCGAACACATGAAAGTCGTAGAATGACAGGAGCGCTTATCCTTTCTTCTTGGCTAACACTGGTGTACAAAAAAAATCTCATAAAATAATAAATAATAATGAATACAATAATACACTCTAAAAATTGTTTGATAAAAAATTTTATTACCACTGATTACACATTTGTTTACATGATGTTGATATAATAATAATCACGGGGTAAAACTTGGAATCATCGCGCAAAAGAATAAGTGTCAATGTATAATTACATATAATAATATACGGGCAGTTCGATGATGTTGCATCGTAAGTTTCATCATTACATTTTTTAATTTGTTTAATTAATCATAATATTCTTTTGTCCAGTCGATTCTTATAAAGTCTATTAACTGCCAACTGGCGCGCGTCTTTTTTGTTGCTTGAATGAATTCGAAATAACACGGAGCAGAGCAGCGACCGATATTTCAATACATTCGACGAAATGCACAAATGTGAGACTTTGTTTTTTTCTTAGGTAAAAATAACAGTACGCGTCGTCGTATTCAGTCTATGTATAATGATTACTATAACAAACTAATTCAATACATACATATTTCGCGTTATGAACTCGTCATCAAAAGAAATCTATAAAATCTCTATGCATAATTATCAGTTACATCTTCATCGTAATATATTGCTACAAATCCTTATAAATTAATTGGTATTGAACGTGAAAATTTTTAACAATTTTCTATTACACTTTGGATAAAAGATTGCCTAAATAGATATCTTTCTTAATATTTTCTTTCGTGTTAAAACTATTTCTTTGCCAACCATTTTTCTTGAATCTCACTCCATAACTAAAAAAGTTCCTTAACCATAAATTGATCGATAATAATTTTAAAAAATTCAATAAAAACGGTAATTATTTCATCAACATATTCAAATGTTTCTGCAGACATAGTAAATTGATTGAAAAATGGTTTTTTTTTAAAGAAGAGATCTTTAAAAAAAACCTTCTAGAGGTTCTTCAGGAAATTAGACAATCTTTTATCACCCTATGCAGTGACTCAGCTGTTAATTAACGTCCGAATTTATAAATTGTGTTTTTTTTTTCTGAATAATTATTCATCATTAGCGGATTTAAACCCTCAGTATTTCCGCAGCTTTGTTATAACATATTGCAATCCAATCTGGCTGTGTTGCTCCCCATTGAATTTGATTAACTTCACCTTCGGCAGCTGTGTATGCCAAAATTGGATCTTCAATTGCTCGTGGCATTTGTTGAATATCCCAGATAAGTGCTTGATGATCATCACCAGCTGTGCAGATGTGGCATGAAGAGTGCGGTGCCCATGCAATACCATTGACACTGGCCCTAAAATTTATATTCAAGTAGTACATTTATCGATTGTTAAAAACTGCCACTTTCAGCATTTTGGCTTACCTATGATTGTTAAGTCTTGCAACAGGAGTGCATGGTACTCGAACATCAAGAATAATTACTTCACAAGCATCCATAGCTACAGTAGCTAAATAATTTGGATCTTGCTTATTCCAAGCTAACCTAAGCAAAGGAGTGTGTTGTGGATCTTCATATATAATGGTTGAATGTTCTAAATGTCTCAAATCGAACATTCTAACAGAACCGTCAGCACCCACAGAAGCAAACATATCCCTACCACCTCCAGCTCTGCTAAATGCAATATCATACACTTCTTTATCGTGTGCAATAAGCTAAAAAAAATAAGTACATATATATAAATTGATTAAACTTCAAGATACTATTTTATAGATTATATTAATACCTGTGTTTTGACATGACCAGAGACTAAATTGACTCTACCAAGCACTTGTCCAGTTTCAAGCCCCCATATGGTGCAAGTAGTATCTATACTTGAAGTTCCAATTAAATTTGGATCAACTTCGTTCCAATCAAACGAAGTCAACGGAGCACAAAAGTCTGAATTTTTATTGTTATTTAGTACGCACTCCATACGCGTCTCTGGCTCTCCAGCCCTCCATACTCTCAGATAGTCTCCAGAAGTTGCCAATAGGTCTGGGAAGACTCCTAAAAAAATATGGTCAAGTTTGAAACTCATCGAGGCATTCTTTACAACATCCAGTGAACTTTAGAATTTTAAGGGAAGTTTTGTTCTAGTTGCTTGCCTTTGCTGTCCGGTATCCACATGATTTTTGTCGTTGGATAGGGATGATCGAACGTGCTCTTGGCCACGAACTCCGACGTATCCTCGTCGAGCGTTATGATTTGCACCTTGTTGTTGTACTCCTCGACGAAGCTGCCGAGAGCCAGGCGGAATCGTTTGTCCGGCCTCACGGACCAGTTCATGCTGTAGAGTGGCCATGGTGCTTCGTACTTGTAAATCTCTTTCCTCTTGGGAGGTTGCACGCTGTGCATGGCCATGATCACTCAATTGTCTGTATGTCAATGAAAAAGGTTTTAGGTTCACAACGACTCGTGAGCGGGTGCAACTAAAAGCAATGCACTCACCTTATATTCACGTATGTCACGAAAGAAGTAAACAAAAACAAAGACTTATTCGATTGCTCCGAAATAACGAATTGGATATAACACGGGAAACGTCAAAGAATCATTATTGGCTGCAATCGCCGGCGATGCTGCGGTATGACAGATCTATCCTCGCCCACGTTGTTGTTCACACACCGAGTGTACAAAACAAACGAATCGCGCAGACAACTGTTCGAGGGCGCGAGGGTGTGCGGTGCAGCACACACGAGCTCGAAAAATTGCAGCCCCAAAAAAAGGTGTTTTCACGTGCTGCTTCTGCTCGAATGCACCAGGGACAATGTTTATATATTGTTATTGTTTCGGCGTCGTCGCGATTTCTATCTCTCGGAGTTTTTCGCTGTCAGCATCCGAGTTGTGCGCTTGCGCGAATCCGCGTCGGTACGTATGAAAATCTATATACCATCGGTGAGTACGCACAGTCGATAAACAGGATTACGTCCTATTCTAAAATTTAATTGATTCCAACTTGTAACGAAATTTTCGTATATTTTGCAATGAATAAAACCTCATCGAAACAATCAGCCGTACTATTATTTCAATGAAATGATGATGTTATTGAAACATACTGTGCGTTTCGATTATCGAATTCTCGACAAAAGTTTATATCCATAGCTTCGCGGCGTAACAAAATTAGAGCACATTGGGATAGTTTCTTTTTAACGCCTGTGTATCCACATCGGAACGTTTTGACACGCTACGCGCAGAGGTCAACAACCTTTTTCGGAGTCGAGATGATGCTTCGCGACTATGACTTCTCTGCCGTTTATCGACGCGCAATAATAACACGATAATCCGTAATAATTTTCGCTATCTGGTGTAATTTAGACTTCTTTTTTTTTACTTTGCCTTCGCTGTGGCGACGTATAAAGATCTATATACACCACAAATGTCGTGTACGAAAAATACGATTGGATACGATTGGATATACGCATAAAGTATGATGAAATTTGAGCTTATTCGACGCGTGGGTTGGGTATCGATATTGATACACCTACGTGGCAATGATCAAAAACAATTGTACTTTGTTAAAAATAAGGAAATCTCGTTTCGAATGAATAATAAGAGAAAATTTTGAAAATCGTTAAATAACGTATTCGAACGGTACGAATTTGACCTTTGCTTTTGTAGCCAAGTGTCTACAAAATATCATATTCTCTTCTCGGTCCAAGCTAAATTTCAACGGACCCATGTAGGTAAATCAAAATATGGCGAAAACGATTTACGAGATAACAAAAAATACTCTTTCAGAGGATACGCTACGTTAGATATATTTTATCTTCCAATATTTTGATCCATTTACCGTTAACGCAAACGTGCGTTTTTGTTTTTCGAGCGTCGCGTTCGAAGCAAACGATCCAATATCGTACAGTGATGTATAATATCGCTATCGAAACACTCGCGCGAATTCGGAAAATTTTTTACAGTATAGAGAGAAAGCGAGTATGGATTTTTTCTTATCTCGAAGGATATCGATTTTTCTATAAGCTGTAACGGTCAAATTCATTTTGAAACGTAAAAACAAAAGTCCCATCGGGCTTTCACATACAGTCACACACAGTGATACAAGCCCCTCTCCCCCCCGCTTGTGCCGCGAAATACACGTCGCGTGGCCGATTCAAACGGCTAATTCTTCGTCGTCGCGGTCGCCGTATCGCTAGTACAAGCTAGCTAAGCAACGGCGAAGGTCTCACAGCTCGCACATAGCTCCGTAACCGTATAGTCAATTCGTTTTGATTTTTTTTTCTATTCTCGTTCGAAGATGGTTAACCAAACGACGACCCTTGCCAAGACCGATATGGTCAACGCCCGGGACAATCAGGGTCGCACTCCGCTCTACCTCGCGGCGCAGTCGCGCGACCTCACGAACGTCAGACTTCTGCTGAGCTACGGCGCCGACGTCAAGGCCCTCACGGCCGACGGCAGCTCGGTGCTGCTGTCCGTGTTCGATCAGTCGCTCCTCGACACGATCCACCAAGCCGGTAAGGAGGAGAGCAAGGACGAGGTCTGCCGGCAACTGATCGCGGAGCTGCTGGACGCCGGGGCGCCGCTGGACAGCCTGGACGCGCGCGGCCGCAACGCCATCCACCTGGCCGCGGAGCTCAAACTCGAGCAGACCCTGAAGGTGCTGCTCGATCGACGCGGCGACGCCCTCGACATCGAGGCCGTGGACTACGAGGGTCGCACGGCGCTGCACGTCGCCGCCGGCGCGAGGAACAAGAAGATCGTGGACATGCTGCTCGCCGAGGGGGCCAACGTCCAGAGCTACACGCACGAGCGCAAGTCCGTGCTGCACTCTCTGCTCGACGAGGACATCGACGGGGACGACGACAAGGACGAGGTCAACGAGATCTTCGACGAGCTCGTGAAAGCCGGGGCCCCCGTCACCACCCTGGACAAGCGCCGCCAGAGTCTGCTGCATTTGGCCGGTGAGCACAGCATGAAGGAGATCTTCCAGAAGCTGCTGCCCGCCTTCGAGGACCACACCGTGCAGACCACCTGGGGCTGCACGGCCCTGCACACGCTGCTCTGCAGCATCGAGGGCCACGACGGCGGCGACGAGAGGGACCTCGAGCTGTGCTCGGTGACCGCACTGGACGGCGACGACGACGAGGACGTGCCCGAGCACCACAAGCAGAAGAAGAAGGAGACCCAGGCCAAGGAGAAAAACTTCGAGCCCAAGAGCTGGCCCGAGATGCTGAGGGAGATGTTCGAGCGGGACGAGAGGGTGCTATACGTGCAGGACGACGAGGGTCGACTGCCGGTGCACCTGGCGGCCAAGTACAAGCACGGCAAGACCCTGTCCACGCTGTTGGAAAATTACTGCCAGAACGAGGCCGCCGCCGCCAAGACGAGCGAGCCAGCGCCGACTACGGAACAATGAGTGTCCCGTGTTATCATGTCCTTATACAAAATGTAATGTTGTACGTGACTATTATATAACGATGTTTTATTATTGACTTGTACATAGAAAAAGCTGTGTTGGATCATTTTTGACTTTTTTTTTTCAATAAATCATCTTTGATTTTATTTATTTCATGAATATATTTCGTCTTGTCATTGATTGAAAAATAATAACCGTTCCTCTGTGCTGTATTATTGTGTTCAAAGATTAAGAAGTACGAGTCGAAGCCAGCTGGGATGAGAGCAGAATATTTCGTAATATTTATAACAGGTAAACACGAGTTTATACCGTTTGAAAGATACATCGACGGTACACAACGTACATCAATGATCTCGCTATACATATAAATACGTAGAGTTTCGTAATTAAAATTTTTGCCTTTGAAACGCGACTTGGATAATCAAAGTAAATAGCCGGTTTTTCTTCGCTTCGTTTAAATAATTCTGTAATTTCTGCTCGTGTGTGTGTACCAACTAATTTGTATTAAAAGCCACGTAATATTTCGCGCATGGCCGTTGGGCCATGATTGGATGAAGTGAAAGATCGACGTTAAGTATACTTTCTTGAATGAAGTATTGACTTTTTTTTTGACAATTTGATGAAGTTGATAAAAAAGAGATCGTCAAGAGCCACAGCAGCTCACAGCTAAAAAATTTGCATCGTCGTTGTACAGTGACTTTTTACAGGAGGGCTGCATCATATTACATATTCAGAGTAAATTTCTGATAATTTTAATTCAACAAAATGTATTCGAGTCTACTTGAATGACTCGATTGAATTTTGACATGCGACTCACGTTTTTTAAATTTTTTTAACTAAAAACCTGGTTTGTTATTTCGTCTGCTACGCTGCGCGCATTGCGCACAGTTCGCGCATCTCGTGACGTGTAAACAAAACACGTGTAGCAATACACTGTATGTACACTGCGACACACGCGACTCGTTTCGTCTGCTAAAAATTTTATTAACGAGTTTTTTTGTAAAAAGCACACAGAGACAGTTATTGTTTTTCAATCAATGACAAGACGAAATATATTGATAAAATGAATAAAATCAAAGAAAATTTATTGTAAAAAAAGTCAAAAATTATCCAACGGCTTTTCTATGTACATAATACGAGTAATATTTACTCGCGCAACTTTAACAGCTGCGTAAAAGATAGATTTTGAGTGACATTCATCATAGTATATCCATTGATTATTTATTTATTTATTTGCTTTAAATCGTAAATTACCCAAGCATTGTTTATTCTAAGTTACTATGACAAATTAGATTCATGAATTTCAAAGAGAATCACTAACAGTTCTAGACACTTTTGGAGGATAAATGTGTTTTATAATGTAAATGTAAAAGAGACAGTTTGAAATTACTAATTAAGTTTAAAAAAACATGGATGTTGAAACATATATAAGAAAATAAACTGCCTTTGCATCATACAATAGTGCAATCGATATAATATGTATATTTTTTTGATTGTACCAATTGCGTACTTGCTTAAAACATTTTTTAATAAATCAACAAGAATTTTACATAAATTATTAGTCCATGTTTTTACTTATAAATCTTTGAATTTTAATTTTCCTATTATAAATTCGATAAAATCATAATTTGAACTTAAATAAAAAGTAGCAGTTTCCATCGTCCTAATTGTCACCTATAAAAAAATACTTCTTAACCAAGGCTGTCAAAGACTTGACATGTAAAATTATTTGCCACCAACGATTTTACTGAAATTAATGTTCAATGTAAATATTCAATACTACTTTTAAATCAAACCGATAATAACGATTTTACTACGTATAGATTATTTTTTAAAAATGTTCCGATAGATTCTGAGTAAATTTCCGAATCTAAAAATGAAACTTTCAAATAGACAAGAGGCACAGGGGGCCGCAGCTGAAAGCTAAAACAGTTGCATCGTCGTTGTATACAGTGACGTGTCGGTGGGACCCATGCATAACTGACATTTGGTGGCGGCGCTTGTAAACAAACTTCATTTCAAGCATATGTCATTCATGGGACCCATACGTATACACAGAGTGTGATGGTTTCACGTTCGAACTTGTCGAAACTGGCTTATGTGACGTCACGAACGTGCCTGTATACAAAAAAATTCGATCTGTCAGCTCGCGCAGGCCGAAATTTCGTATACAAAAGGCATCGGCATCTGCTCTCTGGTGTTGCTCTTTCTTTTCTATTTTGATATTTCCTTGCGGCGCGCAAGAGGCCTGACTCAGGCGAGGAAAAAACCAAGCCCGTTGGAAGTTCGAGACTTCACAAAGGAAGTAAGAAGCCTGGCAACGATGTATTATTAAAGTTTTATAGGGCTCGAAAACTTTCAAAAACTTCGAATATCGCCTAACGTACACTCGATCGCGCGATTCCAAAATTTTCGATGGCTTCGGTAAAGAAAATGATGATTTTAACCATTGAAGATGTGCTAAAAAATGTAAACAAATTGCAGTCAAATTAATGATGATGACTGTTCATTGATAATTTAAAATCCGTGCACGACGCTTGGAAAAAAATCAAAAAATAGAAATCGGAGCCTTGTTTTGAAAGATCTAACATTGCATCAGCTTTAGAAACGGGTACTTGACAAAGACGTGGGAGTGGACACGAACACAAAACATCGCCGGGGGTAATTATATATCGCTTCTTGGCGGGTAAATTACGCGCCAAAACTATAAGCAGCTTCGATGACCGGCTAAAATATGGCGCGCGAACGAGTCTCGTCGTCGCGAAATTCCTCGCTCATGTAGACACGATATCCCATACACGTGTGATACAAAATTGCAATCGAGCGTCGGCATCTCCGATAACACAACGTCGTTACGATTTCGTCAAATATCATGGCAGGATTAAAGGCCATCGCGTAGACTTAGCCTGTATATATAACCGTCAAACAAATTTCACAGAGTTGTGCGATCTCGATCCCCACCCCATAATATATACAAGCGGCGGCCGCGCACACATATACACGTTCATCCGCTGCGTTGCAAGCACCGACGAGTCGACGAGCCGCCCGATCGTCATTCCAACTCTGCGAGTCGAACTAGACGTTTCTTTTCTGAAGAAAGCAACAAATCTTTGACCGTTATCGTCCTCATACCAAGGAGGATAACAGAAAATCAATCGATAACTTTACCTTTGACTTCGACTTCGGGAGTTTTTCCGTTTATATTCAATTTACAAACGAAAATTTTGATATCGCCATGGCTTTGAAGCAGTCGACCAAGGAAAACGTGCAGCTGGGTTTGGAGAACATCTCGTTGAAAAATGCCGTGAGTTATACAATTTGACCTTTAATAATTAAATGTCGCATCGTTTAAATAGCTGCATCATACGAAACTCGCTGAATTTTCATTCGTATAACATTTTTCTTTCGCCGACTCGAGTCGGTCCTACGGTTGCGTGTTTTTAGGCAATTTCGTTCGTCCCCAAACTTGCGCGTCATATCTCGAGCGTTCGGGCACCATTCGGAAAATTTTGTCCATTTAAATGCCCATCGTTTAAAATCCCAATGGAAAAGAGAAAAAATTTCTCCGCGATAAACAATTTTGCGCGGGAAACGCGCGGACGCGGCGTTGCCGCAGTGATAACGGATAGCAGTAGTAGCAGCTTTTTCCCGCGCGCCGACGAAGATACAAACACACTGACACACAGTCGTCGTCGGGCCGTCGTGTGTTATTTTCAGCGCGCACAAAAATCATGCGTGTGTGTCCATCGCGTTACGTGGAGTACTTGCTATGTTCAATTTACCTCGAGAGCGTGTTCGCCTCAAAGATGATTCGTTTTAAATAGACGGTACACCGAGAATCGCATTTTAATGTATTATTTTAGTTTCCAGGCTGCTATGTCAGTTGAAATTTTCGACAATCCTCGTCGTTTTTAATGCGTCAATTCCTTGTTATATTTGATTTTCAAGAGCCTACGTGATGTTAGCTATTACTTCTCGATATTACTTCATACTTTTCATTCATAAAAAAAATCAATAAAAATCGATTCTATGGTAAAGTCAAATTTTTGATTGAAGTTGATCCTCGGCTGACTGATAAATAATTCATTCTCCGAAATATTCATTACCAAACTTGACTTATCGTGAAATTATTAAAAAAAATTTATTTAAAAGTTATTGACAAATTTGCTCGACTGATAAAGTCGCCGCGATCCGCTACTATATATGCTTACAAGAGAAATTCTTGAGTGCTCTTTGTTTTTGGTTCTAGTTAAGCTTTGAAATTATTGTTGCCATTCGCGATGGTGATATTCTGTTGTGCTGGCTGTAATTAGATCCAACAATGATATAGTATCCGATTGTCTCGATGCTCTGCATCAGCAAATGACCGAGCAATGAAGTGTTCAACAAGCCAACATATGATTTGTGTGTTAACCTTAGGCCATGTGACCTTGCCATTTGTTAATACGGACGATATTAGTTGAAATTTTTATTGTCATCTTAAAATATCCAAATATGAACTGTCACTGGACAGTGAGTATTCTATAGAAATTGATGTCAGTGTTTGATTTCATTACCATTAAACAAAAAAGTTTATTCGTTATGCCATACAATATCGTGCAATACCATCACTTGATCTCATACTTTTATTCAATGTTAGTAAAAAGTATGTTTTAAATCATTTTTAATGCTTACTTCTCTATATCATTTTTCATAATTCATACATCATTTACATTGTTAGTCTTAGTAGCTTTGTGTAACCAAATCAGATTTTTAACAGTTCTCATTTTGTTTACAGATTTCTCCTAAGAAGCAGTGCGTTTCTCCTACTATCACTTATCAAAGTGCAAACAAAGTTAATGTGAGTTCTTGAGATACAGCAATTTTTATCTTTTGTAATTAATCATAATTTTTTATCTTCTATTTCAATTACAGAATGAAAATTCCAAGGCTGCCAAAAAAATTGAGTTCAAAGAAACCACTTCTACCTTTGATCCACAACTGGAGCCATTGCTCAAGGAAAATCCTTCTCGTTTCGTGATCTTTCCCATTCAATGGCCTGATATTTGGCACATGTACAAGAAAGCTGAGGCTTCATTTTGGACGGTCGAAGAAGTAGACTTATCAAAGGATATGCACGATTGGGCAAAGTTGAATGACAACGAGAAACATTTTATTTCTCATGTATTAGCATTCTTTGCTGCCTCTGATGGCATTGTCAATGAAAATCTCGTTGAGCGATTCAGCCAGGAAGTTCAAGTCACTGAGGCTCGCTGCTTCTATGGCTTCCAAGTAGCCATGGAAAATGTGCACTCAGAAATGTATTCACTTCTTATTGATACCTACATTACTGATCCATCTCAGAGGGACTACTTGTTCAATGCAATTGAAACTCTACCTTGTGTTACCAAGAAAGCTAACTGGGCTATGAACTGGATCAGTCATAAGAGTGCTACATTTGCTGAGCGAGTTATAGCTTTTGCAGCTGTTGAAGGAATTTTCTTCAGTGGTAGTTTTGCTGCCATATTTTGGTTGAAGAAGCGAGGTTTAATGCCAGGACTTACTTTCAGCAATGAACTAATTTCTCGCGATGAGGTAACATTTTAACTTTGAATCATTGTATTAAAATAATTTGAATAAGTATTAACTTTATATTCAATTACAGGGATTACATTGTGACTTTGCCTGCCTTATGTTTAAACACATTGTTCAAAAACCAACACAAGAACGTGTAATTTCAATTATTAAGGATGCAGTAGCAATTGAACAAGAATTTTTGACGGACGCTCTGCCAGTTGAAATGATTGGCATGAACTGTAAGCTTATGTGTCAGTACATCGAGTTTGTAGCGGACAGGCTATTGCGCGAACTCGGTATGCCTAAGGTATGTATTCTTGATAAATTTCCTCCAGACTCTTGAAAAATCTATACTTTGATTTTTAACTCGATGTTTTATATTATTTACAGGTCTACAACTCGGAGAATCCTTTCGACTTCATGGAACAAATTTCATTGGAAGGAAAGACAAATTTCTTTGAAAAGAAAGTTGGAGAATACCAAAAGTGGGGAGTCATGCAAGAGAGAAGTAAGGGAGAAAATAACTTCTCTGTCGAGGCTGATTTTTAAATCTCCAAGTATTAAATGTGAGCCCTAGACTACCTTAGATTTAACTTTTTTTGTATATACTATTTTAGATTTAATCGTTTCTTTAAGAAAAAAAATTCCCTTGATGTTTGATTAATTTTCTGAAATTAATTATGAAGCAACATGAAAATAACGAGTCACAACTCTGACTAAAAAAACAGAAAAAATCAACTTTTTTCTACAGTTAAACTTTTAAAGAAATTAATTTCTTATACTTGATTAATCTCGTGATAAAACGTTTCGAATTTGTGCTTAAGAAGTTAATTAATTTGTGCAACTTAACTTCGAACTAATTTAAGGCTCTCAACTGCGACATACCCTCAATATGTACGACATCAGCGACTTGCTTGATTAATTTTATATTAAAAAAAAAAAAAAAAGAACGATGTCTTGAACAAAAATCAATGAAATTTCTAGACGTGGCAAGCTAAAAATTTCATCCTTATGTATGTAAATAAGAAAGAAAAACCAACATTTTTGTATATAGACTAAAAAACCAATCACCCAACCAAAATTCAGCGCTTCACGAATCTCTTTTACTCGAACTTTCATCACCAAATAAAATTTATCGCTACTCAGTTATTTTTTCAATGATTCGTTTAGAGATTGTTAAAAAAAAAAAAGTGTAAATTTTATTCGAGTGCTTGCGAATAATTACATCGGAAGAGTACAGGAGATTTTACAAGCGTTACATCATCGTACAATAATTACGTTTATATATTTTGTTACGAGTGCAATTGAACGATTTTATTACGCATTTTCACATCGTAAATAAAAATCATGAAAAAAACAAAAAAAAGAAAATTGTGTGACGAATCATTCCATGTTTTTCCTTTGATATCAGAGATATTTCGCATTGTCAAATATTTACAATCCTCTTTCTCGCTCGAGGCGGCGGCGGGGGTGACGAAATTTACGATTGCCTTGTGTCCTTCTCCTCCTCCTCCTCTTTGCTCTACATACGTATGTATGATAATGATAAAATACACGAAAATTAAACGAGCCCCAACACAACAGCAGCAGCTCTAATACTGGCTTTGACGTTGGCGCATGCGATCCAGATATTGTTTACGACAGTCCATATGGTCGACCGGGCGATTGTAGGGCAGCCAGACAGGCTCGCCGACGAAGTAGCGCTTGGCTTTTATGTAATCCTGCGCAGAAACACAAATAGAAAGTAATCACACGCGAGGGAGTCGTATTTATATTTGTATATACGATCGCAGGCATATCAATATTAGTAATGTTTTACATTCGTGTCGAGGGTGAATCTGTGGTAGATGCCGCTCGGAATGATGATGAGGTCGCCGGCCCGCACCTCGATGCGTATCCACTGGTCGTCCAGGTGGTCGCGCACGTCGAAGTAGCCCGAGCCCGCCAGCACGAGGCGTATCTCCTCGTCGGTGTGCAGGTGCTCGGTGAAAAAGTTCTTGAGCTGTGTGTCCCAAAAAGAGAATGAAATATTTTAATGTCATAAATGAAAATAAATGGAATGCGACGACGATGGCTCCAAACACACACGCACCTTCTCCTCGTAGTTGGCCAAGCACTCCTTGGAGCACGTTATCTCGTCCTCGTAGCTGTAACCGCGCTCCTCTCTCAATTTGGCCAGGGTCTCGTCCGTCTCGTAGTTGTTCGCGTCGATCTGTATACGAATGAAAAAAAAAGTGAGTCTCATCGATTTATGGGAAAAAAAAATTTCTTCGAACCGTTTTTCCGATATCGTATTAATCGATCATCATCCCCCTCTTCGCTCGCGCAACAACGACGATATAACGACTTTGCACCGTATACACCGCATCGCGCGCGCGTGTGTGTGTGTGTGGGTGCGATTTATACACAGTATACGCGGTATATCATGACGCTGCACATGCAATAGGAGGTATATATAGACGACGGCAGGTTTCGGGGTGGCGGCGCGCGAATTCCCAAAATTGCCACCTATCGAGAGACCGATAAATCAATACATTTATCCTCTCGTCGGGCGCGGGGCGGCGGCACACGTGTGTGTGTGTGCAGGTATGATACAGGTACAGGACCAAAGAGATAGAAGGCCTGTGCAGGCTCGTTTTGCCTCTCACGGGGCAACCTACTGTACTCTTTATACGTGTGCACCGCTCGGAGACCAAAAGGAGCTTTCGAGCTGCAAGCTCTCGCATGCACATAACGATGAATGCAAAAAAAGGAAAAAAAAGAGAGAAGAGGGTAAAGATGTGCCTTTGAAGTCGCGCCAAAGTGAATAGGTACGTGCGCCATACGTGCATAGGAAGAGAGAGATAGAAAAAAAAAGTAGAAGGGAAGCTGTCGGTCCTCGATCGTCGCGCGTTCGAAAGGCGGGAGTAAATATTGGCATCAACAAGTACATATGGATTCGATCGATCGAAACAAAGCCGCTCTCTCTCTCGGCAGTGCAATGCTGCCGCTGCTGCAGGCATGTCACACACGCACACACACACACACACGAGTGTGCCTCGTCCTTCCACCTATACATATAATATATCTCCGTTTTATTGCGCGCGCGCTCGGCTCCTTTTTTTCTCCAGCTGCCTCCCTTCGTATATACCTACCTACCTATATACCTATATGGTGGCAGGCAGGTATAGGCGAGAGGGAGGCAGCAGCCGCTCGACCGCCGCCGCCGCGAATCCCGGCGGTGCTGTGCGCTGCACATGTGTGCTGCTAGGCCCATGATTATTATCACCGTCGTCTCTTTGCAACAGTCGACGTCGTTGGGGGGTGTAGAGTGTAGAGTGTAGATAGAGAGAGGGAGGTAGGGGATGGCCGTTGCACTTGCGCGAGCTTTTTGCTCGATAGAGCTCCTCTAGGGGGAGGCTCTCTCTCTCTCTCTCTCTGCACTGCACTGCGCGCGTTGACGCTTTTGGTGATACCAAGCGTGGTGGTGGTGGTGGTGGTGGTGGCAGCGGCGAAACGGCGAGAGACATCGTATATCGATACACGCGCATATAGGTGTGTTATGTACCTTCGCGCGATGCTTATACATAAGTATCGTTCGCGTGTGTGTATGTGTCAGGATAGCAGGCAGCTCCGTACTGCGAGGCAGCTCGGCAGCGGCGGCACAACGAGCGCGTGTGTGCCAGTGGCAGCACACGACGCTCTCGTCTCTATATATCTATCTATATACATATACCAATATAAATGTGTCAGAGTAGTGCGCGAGTAGGCAGCATAGAAGCAGCAGCTTTCGGGCGACTAACCTGAAAATACTCAACGCCAGTGCGTCGCAGGAGCTCCTCGAGATCGAGGAACACGGCCGGTTGGCGTTGGTGCTCGAGCCGCTGGTCGGCCGCGCTATCATCGTCCATCAGCCAAGCGCGTACCATTATTATATCTATCGGTTGATTATTTTATAATATCCGATATAGTAATATCTCGTGCTGCTCTCTTCCTAATAATAATAATAATAATACAAAATACAAAAGTAGTAGATTATTAAGTATATCGTGGTACTTGATGCGCGCGGCCTATAACTATATATTATCGATATATCTATCTACCTGTATAATATTTTGCATGCACACGCACTGTGCGCGCGCGAGAAACACGACTGATCAGCAGCAGCAGCAGCTCTCAAGTATAGAGAGAATATCGAAAAGTGCCCCGGGCGCCGAAGTGCACGTCGTACAGTAACACACAATAGAAAACCACCACCGCGCGGTATACACGAGTATCAAGAGGGAAACTTGACGTGAATATCGACGACGCTGGCAGCTTATGTCGACTCGCAAAGAAGAGGCCTATCGACGAGCAGAGCGAGAGACACTTGATATATTGACTGCAGATGCAAGACTGATATCTCGCTCGCTGCTCGACACGGCGGCGACGACGACGGTGGACGACTTTTTTTAATATAATACGCAGCAGAAAAGCGCAATAAAGTACGTATTATCATGCATTACATACATACATATACGTATGAACTTATTTGATCATTCCCCTCCGCGATATATAATCGAGTCGCGATCGTGTGCACCGGAGAGTCGAGGCGTTATATCGTAATTATTGCTACTGCTGCCTGCGAATCGTACGAATTTGTGTATGTATATGTGTATATATGGCGCAAAGTGGGAGTATCATTTCGCTGCTCTCCGTATACCCACTGCCCTGCTGCTGCTGCTGCATCACCGTCGGTCTCGTCTCTCTTCTGCTGCTGCCTCTGATACATACCTATGCGATACGCCTCGTTTCGGGTATCTCTCGTTTCTGATTGTTCTCCCAACTACGTAATAGTAAACGTAAGCCCTCGAGAGCCTTCACGATGCAGTTATAGTACACAATATATAGAGTGGAGCTCCACGTGCGTTTTATACTTATATATACCTTAAAGCCATTGTTTATTTCCTCGAGCGCGCACGCGGCTTACACATTATAGATAGGAAGCAGTAGAATAAAAAAAAAAAAGTAGAAAATAACGCGTGAGTGACGGACGTTAATTGGCGCTCGCCTCTTCGTCGTTTATTTCTTTTTCTTTTCTATTTTTTTTTTGTACCTTCTTTTATTCGTACGTATCGAAACTTTATTTCTCTCTCGCTCGCTCGTCCGCCCCCGTCGGCGCACGACGACGCAGCACCTGACGCGAAATTCCATTACCTGCTGCCCCCGCGCATCGCACAGGAGATATTTGAGTTCTATACGAAAAGTTCGAGTACCTACGTAGGTAGAGGGTTCATCGACATTTTCATTGATGTAATCGCGGGATAGAGAGCGAATATACTCTTCTGCTTGAAGTTTGCAGTTCGCTCTTCGTAGTCGTCGTCGTCGTCGTCTCTCTATGTATACACATACAACACTGCAAATTCACAAGTGGTTGAGTTCATTTCCCTGTCTCTATCTTTCTCTCTTTCTCTCTCTCTCTTTCGTTCGTTCGCGCGCGCGAGAGACTCGAGTGCAGCACATGGCTCTCTTCGTGTTGCTATACCTACGCGATATAAAAATATAATGAAGATGACACTTTTTTTTTTTTTTCATTTCCCCTCTTTTTGCTCGCTGCCCCTGCGTAGCTACACATATATCCGCGGCAGCGGCGGAGGGCTAGCCGCCTCCAGCCTTGCTTTCGTGCCGGAGCAAAAAACTCGCACGCTTTTGTAAATGACTTTTCTATTGATTAAAAAATAAAGTACATAATAACGTGGCTATGTGTGTGTATGTGTGTTATGTACCATCGCAAGAGATACAATCAGTAAATATTTTATGCGTCTGTTTCAGGTGAAATCACTGTGGAATTCTGGATGATATAGGAATTGTGTTCATAATATTTTTTACTTAGCCTTCTCATTATCCTGACAATCTACTAGCAATTAGCAAGGTTGGTAAATTTGAAAGTCCCATTCATTGGATCATATTTTAATTGATGATTTTTATGTATAGCACCATGGTGGACCAAGAAATTAAGGACCCAGAAACGCTAGCTTCCATAGAGGAATTTTATACAGATCTGCAGCAGAGGACCGTGGTACTGGATTCTGAATCTAGTTTCAAATTCATTACCTCGCGCTCGACAGAGAAGACCTGCACAGACATACAGAACCTGTGCGCTCTGATGGAAAAACTCTGCCAGATATATTACATACCCACTAAAGGTGCTTTTCTCCGTAAGACTGAACTGAGCGTCAAAGCGTTCATCTACCTTATTTGTAACACAAACTTTGCCTCGCAATATTTGTTGGCTGATGATGTAAGAGTCGGCCATTTGGTTGACATTCAGCCGCCCTTCTCACCTTACCTGTTTATTGAAATTTTGTGGAGGATACGATTCGATGATCTTCTAGCAGAGTCAATATTACACTTCCCTTTGGATCTGTGCAATGAGATACTTGAGGTTTTACCAAGGTGCATTGATCTACTCACATTTCAGAGAGCTTCCAAGTTTTTATCTAATATAGTACCCAATATCTATAAAAAGCTCATTCTGTTGAGAAATAACGGTAGTCAGACTAAGGATATAGCTCAAAACTCAAAAAAACTAGCTGGAAATTTTCAAGAACTTCTTTCACAGTTCAATAATGTCAAGTAAGTAGAGCGCTATTGAACATTCAAACTAATTCATTAGATGTTGATCATGTCTTATTTCTTGTTCTCATAACTTTCAGATTTCTAAAATTAAAGGACGTACCGAAAAAGTCGGACAGGTATAGAAGATACGGCATACTCCTGAAAATTTTGATACAAACCGTCAGGATGTGCGTCACTAGCAGGTCGAAGAAAATCGAGATCCCCAAGGACATGGAGAATCTGTACAAATTGACGTTCGGTTGGCAGCTGTACGAGAAGCTCGACGACGGCTCGCTGCACGAGACCCTGTCGGAGATCAATCGGGAGCTGTTCAACGCCCTGCTGAAGCGCGTGAAGGAGATCGACTGCAATATCTACATGAACTGGACGGAGCACGACGACGAGGACAACTCGTCGATGACGTTGCAACGAGCCATCGGCCTAGAGTGTCACTTCTTCATCGAGAACACGAGAGACGAGTACGGGGACGTGGCGGAGTACGGCCACCTGCTGGAGTGCCTCCAGCAGATCGCGTCGAAACCTGACCCCGAGAACAACATCGAATCGATGGACCTAACGGACCTGTGTCATGGTGCTAAGGAGGGTAGACGAGACTGTATCGTAGCTTTATTTCGTAGATATAAGGACTGGGACGACTCGACGGTGGACGCGATAGACAGCAACATATCCAGCTTGAGCAAGGAGGACTGCGAGCAATTGCTCGAGCATCTGGCCAACGAGCTCGCCCAAGAGCCGCAAGAAGACAGCAATAGCGACAGCTGCGGCGGCGGCAGCAGCAGCACGGAAAAGCTGCAGACCTACTCGCTGTGCCTGGCCAAGGCGCTGGTCGCGCAGGACATCGGCGACTTATACGAGATCACGATCAAGTCGATCATGAGGTCGGAGGATCGCGAGGCCGCGGAAGCCGAGCAGCAGCAGCAGCGCGTGGTGGACGCGAGCGACTTCGAGCGCTTCATAACGCACAACTCAAGCTTCTCCAGTGCCAAGAATCTGCGCGCGGTTCTTTTCTATCTGTGCCTAAACACGAGGCCTACGCTGAAAATTTTATTGAAACTGTCAATTGGACACGCGGACTATCCGGGGGTCGCGGTCAGCCACGACGATCTGATGCTGCTGCTGCCGATACTCAAGATACGGACGCACAGCAAGAACGAGAGCCTGGTCGAGTCGCTGCACGCCAAGTGCTCGGAGAGGGAGGAAGGTAAGCTTACGAAAAGCGAAAACCAATTTTTCAAAACTTTCATTCGCCTTTTCGCTTCGCAGGTAGCAAACTTCTCAACGAGATGAGGTATCTCAACAAGAAGCGCCTGAATCAGTACAGAAAGTCGCCCAGCAGCGTCAGTCTGGTAATCAGAGTTCTGCGCGAGATCTGCGAGAACGAGCCGGCCTGGGATCCGAACTGCCTCGCCTGGCTGCTGCAGATGCTCTACGAGTTCTGCGAGCCCGCGGAGATCGTCGGCGAGATATTCATCCCACTGCTGCGCTGCACGCCCGACAAGTACAACACGGCCTTCTTCAAGTACTTCCTCGTCGAGCTGTACAAGCTCAAGGGCGGCTACACGCCGGACTGTCGCAACGCCTTGATACGCGAGCTCGAGATCAAGCTGGACTACCTGTACAGGTCGGATCACCTGTGGAGGTATTGCCGGGAGGAGCTGCTGCTGCTCGCCACGGCGGTGCTCGAGCATCTGTTCTGCGAGGTGGAGCCCGCCGACCACGAGCCGTACGAGCACCTCGACTCGAATTATCTGCACGTGCTCCAGCCGTATCCGACGACGTCGGCCGAGGACGAGCCGATTTACAGGCTGACGCTGCTCGAGGCGCTCGGCCGATTCGATCAGCTGCGTCGATCTCGCATGACGGAGGAGGAGGATTGCGAGCAGCAGCTACCGGACGGAGCCTCCGCGTCGTACTCGTTTACCGAGGACTTTTTGCGCTACGTCTTTCTCAAGTGCACGCGCGAACAGTTCATACAGTACGGCAACGAGCTGCTGGACTCGACCGGCGAGATCATCGACTGCGCCGACAACAGCAAGCAGGCGTACTGCGACGCGCTCGTCAGGCTGACGTTCGAGACCATGCTGTTCTGCCTGGAGTTCCCGCAGTGCACGGCACAGGACAGCCTGGTCTTTCTCGTCAACTGCCTCAAGGAGTTTCTTCCCAAAGTACAAATACCCAAGAAGGACGCCTTTCAGAAGGGCATCTGCCGCAGCCTCGACAAGCACGTGATAATACTCAAGGAAAGCGTGACGCATACCGTCGTGGCGCCCACCTACGACTATCTAATCATGGCGATGGACGAGCACCCGCTGCATCTGACGCACAAGCTGCGAGCCCTGGAGATGTTCAGCTCCAAGTGTCGCAGCTACACCGAGCAGCTGCGCACGTACGCGGGCCCACACACGCCCCTCGGCCTAAGGTTGTGGCTGGCCCACGACCTCGTGCAGGAGGTGCTGGACAAGCAAGGCAATAGCGAAATTTTCATGAGGAAGCTCGCCGATTACTTCAAGACAGAGCAACAGCAGCGCCAGCAGCAGCAAGTCGACGAGGAGCCACCAACGACGACGACGACGACGACGACGGAGACGGCGACGACGACGAGTAGTATTACCGAGGAGACCTCTTAAGACTGCGCGCGAGCAATCGCTGCTAACTCTGTACATTTGTAATATATATTTAATACGTGGGATATATGCATGTAGCTCGTAAGTGTGGATCTCTCTTTTCTAATTTTTTATATGAACGTGTATTTCGAAAGGAACAAGACGTTACGATATATATAAAAAAAAACAAAACAAACATTAATTCTATAATGATGCGCAAAATTCTCTTCTCGATGTTTTTTAAAATGAAAAAAAAATCAATACACAAACTAAGCAAGAAATGGTATGAAAAACAATACAACAATACTTTAATGGAGAACAAATTACTCGATGTTAATCTATTAATGAAAGTTGTTTATTACTTATTATCCATTTTTCACAATGGAATTGTACGACTCGTCTATATTATAGTTAAAACAAATATTTAATATATAAACTCACATGATGCACTCTAAAATTGAAATCTTTCTAAAACAAAATAAAACCAAAAAACCAACAAAATGTAATCAAAAAATCAAAATGAATCTATATATATATTAATGAAAAAAAAATTGTTATATTCCTTCCGAATAAAAAACAAAAAACAAATATAGTTAATCTTAGATGAAAGCAAAGGCAAAAAATGGAAAAAAAGAATCGAGTATAAGTATATAATTATATCTATATACATTCACATTATTATATAATTATACGACAAAACGCAACAACCAACAATTATAAGACTCTTCTGAAAGGGAATCAAATGCAAAAACGACCAAGTATTAATAATATAATAATAATAGTTTATTATTCACTGTAATACACTGTATAAAATTTCCAAATCAAGGCAGGGCACATAGCTCGAAAAATGATTAAAAACGCAGTTATTATGTATATTGCACAGGATATAAACTGTTTGTATCGTGTTCATATTATTATAATATATACATAAGATCAGTTGATAATCCAATTGTTTAACTGCGAATTTGTTGGTTTTTTTTTCTAATTTTACTTCTTTTGTTTTTGTCGTCACTCGCGGATTACAACAATGCGAAATTCGGTCACAACAAATAATTTTTCTCGCAATCTCTACTCGCTAAATCGTGTCTGTACATTTTTGATTTAAAAAATTGTTCTTTTTTCGTTTCCTCGGGAAAACTCTGTTTGTGCGATTTAATGCCAAATGAAAAGAAAAGGTACCATAAAATATGTTCCAAACTGTGAATAAAACAATCAAGACATCAATAAAGGCGCAACTATAAGAAAAAAAAGAACTAGACTCCACTCATTTTTCTCACAATCGTTGCGCGCGGCATGAAATTGTTTTTTTCTCTGTGCATTCTTTTAGTTCTTTCTTTTTTTTTACTTTGCAAATATACATCGGTATAAAAAAATGTGCACCAAAAAAAATATCGTATCAACAAGTTATACATAAATTCCTAATAATTAATGTTTCACTCTCTCTATCTCGCACGCACTATCGTAGAAAATGCCACTTGCACATACAAATTCTCGCCGCCCTGAATATAATCAGAGGCGTACCTAAGCACGTCATATATTTATATAATATAATTTTCTTCTCATTTCTCGTTTCTTTCTTTAATTCTGGGATTTTTAATCCTACACTTTAATTATAACGTCTCGCCCACTTGGGTTATATTTTTTACTCTTTTTCTTCTTTTTTTTATTTCAACTTTGTTCAATGGCTTCATTCATCCTAATTATAACGATGACGATACGTTCTAAAACTCCGGGCTTTTTTCTTTCGCGCTCGCGAAAAAGTATAGGAATAAAAAAAAAACGAAAAATTGTTACATTTACACCGAATCGAAGTAACGAGGGGGACGGTGGTGTGTGCACTGCACGGTGTGTGTACGCGTATCGACGGCCGATCCGTTGATTGGGGGGCAAAAAACAAAACGAATTTTTTTCCTTTTTTTTTCTCCGTTTGATCGTTATAAAATATTACGCTTGCGCGCAAAATAGAGGAACAATGAGAAAAAATTTGATTTCGACGATATATTGACATTTTAATCACTGCGTCGTATATAAAACGCGCGTGTACACGGGGGGCCCGTATGTGGGAGGAGAGAGAAAAAAAAACAGCGTTGAATAAATTTAATCCTTGCCGCACGTCTAAACGAAGATTAATGCGTCGCGGCTTCTATATACGTGTTGGTGCGCGTGTGTGTATACATGTATGTATACATTAAATTCGATTCGTATCGTCCTATATACCTCCTCCGCCTGTGTGTATGGTAAAAACGTATCCTCTTCACTCTGTTTTTTTTTTTTGCGCTATTTCTCTCTATTTACACACTCGCGCGAGCACACGTACACACACACACACTACGCGCGCGCGTTATATACGATCGATAATACAATCATATGCATACAATATTATACACATAACTTCGCACTCGATGCACGCAGAATTTTACATCTTTTTACCTCTTTTACGTTACGTTATTTTATTTTATTTTATTTTTTTTTATAATATAAATGTACTTTCTGCGTTTGCCGCTTCTTTCCTCTTTTTATTATTATTTTCTTCTTCTTCTTTTTTTTGCTATATCCCGTGGGCTATACAACGATAAAAAAAAATAAGCAAATAAATAAACGATGCGCACACGCTACCGTAACGATGTATTTATCGTTATGTACAAATTACATCGATGCGTTCAAACAATAATAATTAATATAATATAAAAGTAAAAAGGAAGGTGTGAGATCGATGATGCAACCCAAATTGTATGAAAATTTATTGACACTTTTTTCACCGTATATTAATATAACATCAATGTACAGGTTTTCTTTTTTATTTCAAACGATTGACAAACTCTTCTTCGAGCACTGCTGCTGAATATTCATATACAACTGTACACAATGCGTGTATTATTATGCGTCTCTTCTCTCTCTCTCTCTTATATTTTCTCGACTCGCTTTATACATTTAATATATACTGCTGATGTTGCGCCCCGTTTATCGATGCTGGCTGATTTTTAATTTTTTTCCCCTCGATTTTTCATTGCGCATCGCTGTTATTTATTCATTTATTTATTCTTTTTCTATATGACTAGATTACCCGTTGAAGAGAACTGGCTGTTTTTTATGCGACTCGAGATTTGCCTCCCTCTCTCCCCGCCCCGTTATAGCAGCGCGACCGATGAAAATTGTATGGAATGTACATAATAATAACGATAATAATAGCGACGCGAGAAAAATTCGATCGGATGAAAATTTTCTTCTTTTTTTTCTCCCCCTCCGACCTTTTGTACATCAAAAAGATATTTCTATTATTACGTCGCGCGTTTTATAGTCGTCTCCGCGTCGAGATAGGGCATTTCCTCGTGTGTGTGTGTGTGTGTGTGTGGAGATTACGCGAGAAGAGAGAGAAGATGAGCGAGCGTGTCAATAAACCGCGAGAGAAGAGAGAGAGAGAGACGACGACGACGTGTTACTTTGACCTTTTTTTTTCTTTTTTACTCCCGTACGATATTCAATGCACATTTTTTGGGTTTCTCCGTTACACAAGTGCATCTTACGTGTCTCGATTGATTTCATTCATTTTTTTTCTTCAACATTCATAGTTTTTATCGTGCGCATAAATCGTGTACAGTAACGCGATAATGATAACCCGCCGACTCTTGGCTTGTATTATTATTATATTTATACGCAGCGTATTTACAAGTCAAAAAAAAAATCAAGAACAAAGAAAGAAAAGATGACCATACGTACCCCGCACTCGTTATCTCTAACTTCGTTTAACTAAGCGTGATATTTTTTTACCACTTCTCTCTCTCTCTCTCTCGCTCGTTTTCTGTGTTCGCGTTTTAAACATTCATCTCTGGGATTTTATTTTATTTCATTTATTTCTTTTTTATAAGTGTAAAAAATATAAATTTTGTCGCACGCCTTTTGCGTCTGGTGCGTAGTTAATTTCTCGTTTTGTTTTTACATCATTATTATTAGCATTATCGTTATTATTTTTGTTACACATTTACACAGCGGATAACAATATACAAGTGTGTGCACTTTGAAAAAGGCCGATATATAAAATAACAATAATAATAATAATAATAAAAATGTGTGTGAAAGAAAATAAAAACACCGACAATTATCCTCGGGGATGGGTTCGTTTGTGTAACGAGAAAAGACGAAATAAAACAAAACGAAAAAAAAACGAAAGAAGAATATACGTGTACGCGCGTGCAAAGTTACACACGTCGTGTATGTAAGCTCGTTTATGCCAATTATCGACTATTATTAAAAAGTAACGCGAGACCCGACGTAATAATTCATTAAAATTGCACGACTCTGTGTGTCCATTATTTTCTTTTCTCTCTCTTTTTTTTTTTTTTTATACAACGATTCAATAGCGCGGGGTGCGCTTATTAATTAATTAATTAATTACTTTTCTTTTTTAGTCAACACTCGAAGAAACTTTCAGGATCCAGCATGAAAAATCCACAGTATATCTTTCTTCATTCGAACGTATACACATATATTATAACATTCACACTCAAACACACGCGTCTCTCCTCGTCACTATTTTATTATATATATTGTAATCGTGGCCTCGCTCTTTTCTCGAGGATGATATGCGCCGGAATATAAATTGCTCTCTATGCGTCGTCCCTATATCACTGCACACAGTCTCTCTCTTGTGCAGAGCTCTTTCGATCTTTTTTCTTTCTTTACAACTACGTATACAATAACAATATGTATAAATATTTTGCACGACCTATGTGTGTGTGTCATTTAGAAAAATATTCTCGCGTCTCGCAACACATCCTTACGGGTGAAAAAAAAAAATCTAAAAACTTTCTGTGTGTGTCGCGCGTTAATAATCGATATCCTAAGCGCGCGTGTTTGGAACGTACACATATGCATTATTCATCTTCTCTTGCGTGTCTCGTCGCGGCCGTATATGTGGCAGAGTTTTGTTTACTCGAGGCATCGTTGAAAATATAATACATATAAATTAAAATCGCGACTTGCAAAAGAGAGAGAGAGAGAGAAAACAAGAATGTACCGACTCATGAGAAAAGTGGAAGATTTTTCGCGCCGTTATCTCGTGCACGCCTTTCGCAGACGACGACGACGACGACGAACAACGGACTTTTTTTTTATAATATCCCCCTCTTGGTTCAACGACACTTCCTCCCAAATTGTTCTCTCCCTCTCGTATACAATACGTATACTGTGTACGACGCGCGAAAAGCTCGTGTACGGCAGCGCGTCTATGAAACATCGTTTTTCGCAATAAATATTTCACCGCGACGGGTTTTTTTTTCTTCCTCTTCTTTTTACACCCCTCCTGACTTTCGTTTCGGATGATATCGCACACAGAGAGAGGCTCGGCCTCGACGCGGACTCTCCTGGTTGGAATTGACATTTCTCTCTCTTTCTTTTATTTTTTAGTTTTGGAAAAACATAGACAAGCAAAACAGCATCGTAGAACCAAAAGTTTATGTAATAGTTTGTTTTTATTAATAAATAAATGTATAAATAATAATAGTTTTTTTTTATGATAATTACAATTATAATAGTGTTCCTAACAGCTGTAAAATGATATTGAGATTTCGACTGACATAATGAAACAATACGTTTTAAAAAAAAATGTTGATCCATTGAAATCCGTCTTTTTTTTAATAAAAAAAAAAAACGAGAAGTATCGATCGCCGTCGTCATAAATAAAGGATAAATCGCTCGATATTTTATACATTTTTTTCTGCTTTCATTTTTACATTTAATTGATTTTTTTTTTAAATGCGCCATTTATTTTTACTTTTTTTTTTCGCTTACAGCTTTGGTTCGAGCACGACAGATAGATTATTGAACATTGTAACTTTACAAAGAAATCAGCACAAAGAAAAAAAATAAAAGATAGAAAAGGGAAAAAATTGCTCGAAAAAATTAACAACCATGCGTAACAAAGCTTCCTTTTTTTTTTAATCCAAGTTCTTTTTTTTTCATTGGGCTTAATAAATTAATTAAAAAAGAAAACGCCGAATAGTAATTATTTAATAATTATAGTAAAATAATTAACGAGTGCGCGTCCAAATTGTGCTCTCAAAACTTATGTATGCAACAACCTTAACAACTTAAATGCCATCGTATGTATAATATATATAATCTATTTATATATATAGGTATAGTAGAATCGGCGCAAATTGGTCCTAAACTCACACGTTCCCTTGCACGCACACAAATACACACACACTTGCTGCGTCTTTTATGTATAATAACTTGTATAGAAATCTCACACGCGTTTCTCTCCTTTTTTTTCATTTATTATTTATATATATAAAAAAAAACACCTATTTTTTTGCCTTAAATTTAATTATGTATAAAGTTTGTTTTGCTCGGTATTTTACAAAAAAGGATTTCCTTTCCAACTGTATAATATATATAATTACACCTGCGTTTTGTTGCTGTTTGTTTGTTTGTTTTTTTTTTTGTTGCTTTCTGTTTCGATTTACAAATACTATTAAAAGAGGCGCGCCGGCGCGGTGAGAGCACTGTTTAATGTTTTTGTTCCTTTTTTTTTCTGTATTTCTGTAACACACATTCGCACTAGTTTTTCTTCTTCTTCTTCGTTTTGTTGAAAAAGCCACGCACAACAAACACACGCACGCACGCACACACACGTTCGATTCGATTCGATTCATCATCATCATCATCACGATCCCACGGCGTGGTGTCTCAGTGTGTATACGGCCTCCGCGTCCGTATCATCTTCATTCTCTCGAGGACGATCTTCTTCACGACATGGGATAGTCACGCTCCACCGGCGGCGGCTTCCTTAAGTATTAGAGTACGCTGCAGCAACAGTAGCTCTTCTTCTCCTTCTCGGGGCTGAAGTTCATCTCGCGCACGATCTCGGCGAACACCTCGTTGACGTTCGTGCGGTTCTTCGCCGAGGCCTCGACGAACGGGCAGCCCCAGAGCTGGGCGAGGGCGTTGCCCTCGGTCGTGTCCACCTCGCGCTGGTGCTCGAGATCGAGCTTGTTCGCCACGAGCAGCACCGGCACGCGCTCCGTGCCCTTGACGCGCGTGATCAGCTCCTTCATGGCCTTGATGTCCTGGAAGGTCTGGTGATTCGTCAGGCTGTAGACCACGACGAAGCCCTGGCCGTTCTTTATGTACAGGTCTCGCATGCTGGCGAACTGCTCCGTGCCCGCCGTGTCGAGTATCTCCAGGACGCACGGCGAGTTGTCCACCTCGATCTCCTTGCGATAGAAGTCCTCGATCGTGGGATCGTACTTTTCCATGAAGCAGCCCGAGACGAACTGGACCGTCAGGGCTGACTTGCCCACGCCGCCAGAGCCCAAGACGACGACCTTGAACTCCCTCATGATTGGATTCTTCTGTGGTTGTGCTGATCTGGTCGGTGGTTCAGAGCAAGATGAGAGCTGCTGTGCGGCGGGTCGAGGGGAGATCCTCCACTCGACTTGATTGACCTAGGGCTACGATCTTGAGCCTAGGCTGTGAAGTGGTAACAGTAGTGAGTAAGGCATCTAGCTTGATACCTCCTTTGAACTAGCGCTCATATGTATACCCCTCGAGACAGACTGAAGCAGAACCTGGAAAATAAAATAGTTTCATGTAATGCTTGTAAAATTTTGCTTTAATTATTACTTAATAGTTATGGTCTCAAAATTAGCTCAGGATAAAGTGAACGAGTTAACGTTTTAAATTCATAAGCATCATACTGAAGACTCTGCTCTAAATTATATGAATGTACTCAAGTGATGTAATGAATTCATATCAATAAAGTAAATTACAAACAAGTACAAACACACACACACACACACACTCTGGTACACACAATTATAAAACATAGTATTTTTCACAATAGCTAGGCAGTTAAAAGAGTTCTTGAATGCTCATTGGCTGTTTTAATATTTTATTACTCATTGTGTTAACAGCTTTTTATCTTTGCAATTCAATAGATGTAAAAACTTAGTCATAACTCTTCAAACCGACAGTGTTCTTTTTTAGCATTGATGAAAGTTTGAAATAATTTAATAGATTTCATTAAAATTTAACTACCACTTGAAAGTGCAGGAAGAAACCTTGAATGTTTCACATTTGATTATTGGCAAAAGTTTAAAAATTGAGCATTGAAAAGTAATAAACTCAATTATTACTTGTTGCTAGTACAAATAATTGAAAGTGAATAAGACTCATTTATACTTTCAAACAGAATTGAATTAAGAAAACAATTTGTAAAATGTACAAGTTAGTCAGCTGATGAAAATGTGTCATTGACTGCCTCACTGATAAACTGTTATCATTTCAACTCGAAGCGAACACAAGATTGAAGAATGAGCCAGAAAAAAATTTTATTTTTGTCATAATACTATTAATTTTACCCATGAGCGATCAAGTATACGCAGATAGATACAATTATTTGCATGCAATCGCTCCAACTTCCTCTAAGCTACAATTTCCTTTCAACAATGCAAATAACTCTGTTTTAGTATGTAAAATATACTTTGTTTCACTGTTCAGCTGTCACACAGAGATTTTCATTTTCAAAGACACATTCACATTCCTTATATCAATTGAAGCAACAGCAAGAAAAAAAGGCAGTTCCTAGCTCAACATTGTGGATAGAGTTGTTGAATTAAAGTTGCAAATGCAAATAACAACAATAAAAATGAAAGACAAGCTGCGGTTTTCGATTTTGAAAATAACCATTGACTCATAGAGGCAAAAATGCGAACGCGAAGCTCTTCAACTAGAGCCAGCTGAAATACTTCCAAAACTTGGGCACAAATTGACTTGAGTCTCTTGCATTTAAAACACTGTCAGCCAGAGCTCTTTACCATCGACTATACATACACACATTGCACAGGCTGGCGAACACACTCACGCACACTACATAAACTCCGTTTTAACTATGCGAAGTTGGGGCTAAACGAGTTTTCGGACTTATATAGCCGGCTGCTGCTGCTGCCTGTGTCTCATCGAAAAAACTTTTCAATCGATCGGCAAATTGTGTCAACTTGGGTACTCACAGTTCGAGCGGAAAATAATATCCTAGACACATACACAGAAGCATCGGCGCAGCTAGTAGCGACAGCGTGTGCCGATCGACACAGAGAAGACGGAGAGAGAGAAAAAAAGGACGAAAATAGAAGAAAAAAAAAAAAAAGGAAAGGAAGGCATGTATAATGTATGTGTTATAGCGAAGCAGCAGCGCGCACGACGTTCGACGAAAAGTACGAAGAGAGAGAGAACGAAGTCTCTCGTTCAAAGACGGCCAGAAAGAGAGAGAGAGAGAGAGAATGAAGAACATGTATATAGACGTATTATAAGTATAAGCTATATATACTGGCAGGCAGCAGAGGCACAAGACATCATCGCGTACCTATATATACGCGGCGTGTGCGTGCACATGCATGCCATGCTCGCACACATGTATGTAGGTGTGCGAGAGTAGCAGCGATAGATATATCTATACCTATATACACACATGTGTGAGAGGAATGCGTAAATCACACACTCTCTCGGCTCGGTTTTGCGCGAGATATAGTAAGAGAGAGAGAGAGAGAGAGAGACGGAGAGGAGATGATGATGATCACGAGCTAAGGGGGTCCCGCAGCACCGACTCTTATATATACTCACACACATGGGTGTTGTATGACTCTTCGATACATCCGTTAGAATGTGTGTATATAGATATATATATATAAATTACAAACGCACACATATAATGTACCGAGTAGCAGGGACAGAGATACCGACTGCGGCGGTATAATACTGGGCATGAGTCGAGCGAGGCACACACACTACACGGACACATTACTACTATAATATCTAGCTAGCAGAAGCAGAAGCAAAAGTGGAGTCAAAGGCGCAGCGATATTATACGGCTAGTATATATGCGTGTATATATATATCAAGGATGACTATATATATATATGTGTGACGAGTATATGCCGATATGATGAGTGTGCGTCTCTATACTCTACTCTCTTTCTCTCGATATATATACGTTCCAGAGGGAGAGAGACAGAGAAAAAGATCGGTATTAGGGATTACCGTCGTGGTGCTCGGCGACCATCGTGTTTTGACATTTGTCTCGATCAGAGACGAGAGAGACGTATCGTAACCGCCTTTTAATATCGTAACGATAATGTAATGTATGAAATATAAAAAATAGCGTATATAGCTATACGAGCCCGCCAAGTAAAGTAGCAAGTGTCTCGCGCACACGCGAGAAGCGCCCCAAGGACACCACGCGAGTGCACTATATTATATACTCGAGTATATAGTCGCGCGCGCGCGACAAATGAAAAGAAATAAGAAAAAAAAAATAATAATAGCAAAGGTTGCGTTGTGTGTGTGTATGTGTGCAGACGGCAGCGCGGTGCATTTTAACCGATGTGCCGTTTGTGTATATATAGCGGCACGTACTGCCACAACTGCCGGGACGCTGTCACACACACACATAATCATTGCGGGGGGTACAAGTATACGTGCATACACGTACGGATGTGTGTGTGTGTGTATTGTAGGAGACGTTCTGTAACTCTCGCAGAAAGAAAGAGAGAGAGAGAGACAGTCTCGCTCGCGTCGCGTACTCCTAAAACAATATACATAAGCAAATCGTCATCTGTCTCGGTAACTCCAAACATCATGCGCTCGCCGTGAGTCGTGCATATACGTATAATATTACCAGCAACGGAGCGAAATTAACGACAAGGATGCATTATGAAGCACGCTGCATGTGCGAGAGGACTTGAATGACACAAAACTGCAGAGTTATATCCTTGCAGTGCATGTATCATTCGCGGACTCCTCTTTCTCTCTCTCTCTCTCTTTCTTCGGCAATTGACGAGGAGAGTAAGAGAGATGCATTTACTCTCTTTCATCTGTGTCGGTCTTTTATGCATTACTCTACACACATACATGTAACGCGATATACTCGTTGGTGTGTATTCGCGCGACGTTTACGTATATACAGAATATCGATGAATTTACTGAAGCATAAAGACAAAAAAGAATAAACAACGGGCCGCAGCTAGATTGTCATCGCTCGACGTTGACGACGACGACGACGACGATGACAACGACGTAGACGTCGACGACGGCCGTACGCGTGACGCCATCTTAACGTCTCTCTTTCTCTCTTTCTGTCGCGCACAGACATGTACACACGGACACAGACATACACAAACAAGACTGGAGCGTATAATATAGGCAGGCAGCAGCAGCAGCAGCACACTGCACACACAGAGGCACCAATAAACTATTCAACAGCAGCAGCAGCAGCGACGTTTATGTATATAGAGGTGTATCGAACACACACACATACACACACTATGTATACGTCGGGAGTTGCACTTGCACACTTGTATACGCTGCTATATGCGCGTTATCACAGACACACTCTCGGGGTTTGGAGCAGTAAAAAAAAAATAAGAACCAATGCTCCAAACACTATATGAGATCCTCACCGAGCTTTATCTCTTGTTCAACAACAACCGTTGAGAGAGAAGAATAATCCTCCTCCCGCGTTGACGACGACGGGCTCCGTTCCTATCCTGACACTTGTAAACAATCGACGACAGACTCTCGGCATCTATGTCGCACTACTACTCGCTGACTGCACAGTATCAACATATAGGAATCGAGAGATGGACACGAATTAAAAATGCACATCGACTCGCGCACGCACACACAGGCCAGCACTTGTGTATTACTCACTCACAAGTCACGACCACGGTCGACGACTACGACGACGACGACGAGATCGCAAAAATGGCAAATTTGCTTCGCACCGAGAGTGTGCTGATCTCTCTCTCTCTCTCTCTCTCTGTGCTGTGTGCGCGCAGTAACGTCGTCGTTGAGGTTAGGTATGCACGCGCACCAACACACACTTATTTCGCACACTGTACAACTACACCACTACAGCACGCATTCAGCATCAGCAGCAGCTTCTCTGCGTATTATATAGAAAAACGCACTATTTTCATATATATTCTATTATATATATGGCCACGCATCGGCAGCAGCTCCTCTCCTACACACAATGCGCGTTACAATGCTACGAGATACGGACACATCCGATGTAGTAGGTGTGCGTATAATACGTAAATACCAACGCGCATACTGCTCCTCTCTCGGTCTGCCTGCGATCGTTCGGTGCACAAAAGGTGTCGAACCTATACGTGTGTATAGGTAAGCGCGCTGTTCTCGCGTGACTTGTGTGTATGTCTTTATACATATAATAGTAGTAAACTCGTGTGCATATGTGTGTAATTGTTGCAAGTGTGTGTATTACGGATATTTGTTATATATATGTGTGTGTAATAGCGAACCGCCTCGTACGAGAGGCGCTGTGAGACTGAAAATCGCGTATACTCTCTGTGTTAAGCTGCTGCTGCTGCTGCTGCTACTGCCGCTGTGACTATATATATGTTTGTCTGTGTGTGAGCGCGAGAGTGAGGCTCTCGTACACAGACAGGCCTACGTTATATATATGTGTATGATAATGCCAATGAAAGAGAAACAGAGACGGCGACTTTTGCACGCGCTTTATAGGCAGAGGCAGAGAGAGAAAGAGATACGCGCCGAGACATGTGCATGTGCTGTGCGGAGTGCATATACGAGCGCGAGTCACTCTGCCTGCTGCTGCTGCTGCTGCTGCTGCTGTTGAACAGAGAAAGGAGTGCGTATCGCGTTGTTTTATCCACATTAATGCTGTGTGTGTGTGTGTGTGTGTATATGTACGGTACGTATGTATCATGTGCAGTGCATTTATGTATATAGCGGGAGCTGCTGCTGCTGCACAGATGTACATACTTTATTTTTTTTTGCCTATACCTATACCGAATCGGCGAGACATTTTTTCAAAGCGCGAGAGGGAGTACGCGAGCACGTGCGCACAACAGTGCAGTATACATACGTCTTGTATATTTTTTTTTATTTAATTAGATGTGTATCGTTTCTCGCGCGCTACTTACCTATAACCGCCTCCGCCGTTTTCGTGTCCACAAGGTGTTCTTTTTATTTAAAAGTATACGAGCTTTATATCGACTATACGCGCCGCTGATATATACTCGCACGCGTGCGAGCTACTGACTGCGTGTTGTATAGCCTCCGATCGTCATCTCATTGCTATATTACCGATGACTCGAGAGTCTCCTCTTCATTATTATTATCATCATTTTTATACGCTATATATATATAAATCTATGAATCATGTGTATTCGCTGCGCTGCATTGACGCACATTATATCCACACATTACCGCGCGCGGTTAAGTATATGAAGCGATAAGAGAAAAAGCTGCCGATCGTTAACCGATCGTTAAGTAGCAGTCGTCGCGGCGGTGGTGGCCGGTGGGAAAAACCGATTTATTAATTATTTAAGTTTTGTCGTTAGCCACCGCCGTTACATATACATGTAACTATATCTTCTATATGCAAACAGGTGTTTGCCACGCGCGCGCGGTAGTTTCGAAATGCGTAAATTCTCATTGTTATATTCGATCCTCTTTTTTTTTTCGTAATGCGTAACGCGCAACAACATCTTCGTCGCTATATATATACGCAGCATCAACGTAGAGAATGTATTAAAACTTCTGAGAATGCACAATAGCGCGATTTCTCCGCTACTGCAATTGTGGCGCGGCTTTACATACGCAGCAGTTGCAGCACGAATATAATCTTATATGCGTCTGAGAGCCGCATCCGAATGGATAATTAGAGCATTCTTGAACGAGTGTTAAGTAAGAAACACACGATTTAATGCGCACCAGCAGCATGCGAATAATTTGGGTAGGCAGCTGCTACTGTCTCTACGTTTATTATAATATGCACACATACACAGACATACACTTGTCGCGCCGTGTCGCGGCGCACTCGAAATTGTAATGATAATATTGTAATCGTCGAGTTACATACACACACATGCAGTATATCACGCCTAGCCTATGTGTCTCTTATTATAATATATACGTATAATTGCGACATTAACGCACGGAGAGACTCGCGGGATTCGCGGTATATTTTTGGGCTTTTATTAACATTTGGTGGCCCCCGCGCGCGTGAACAATTGCGCAAAAAAACACAGGATAGTTTTGAAGTAACAAAATCCACATACCGCGTTTGCGTAAAACTAAGAGGAGGGGGAGAAAAAAAAATTAATAAAAAATTCATACGTACATTTAAAGGTCGAGATCGTGCGCGCGCGCGAGGCGAGAGCTCGAGAGTCGATTTTCGCGTAATATACGTAACGCAATATGCGTGCGCGCATAAATAAATAAAAAAAAAAAAATAAAATAGCCGGCATATCTCGACGCATATATTACCGTTACGTTGCGAAGCTAAACGCGACGTTTTCACTTCGAAGATATAAGAAGAAAAAAGTAAAAAATAAAATTGAAGTAAAGAAGAAGAAGCTATAATTATATATAAATCGAATCGATC